GGGAGACCTTTCCTGGGCCCTGGACTGTTTCTAAGGTTTTCAGCTTTGAGTTTCACAGTGCATTTATGGGCACTTCACTGTCCACATGCTGCTGCTCTTGCAGGACGGACCGGACAGGTGCCGCTCGCTAAGATTCCTACACTGTCAGCATGACCTTGTGGTTTTAGTGACTCTAATTCAGAGGTTCTCAACCTGTGGGCCTGGGACCCTTTGGAGGGTGAATGAGCCTTTCACAGGGGTCACCTAAGACTTTCGGGAAACACATACATTTCTATTAAGATTCATAACAGTAGTAGAATTACAGTTATGAGGTAGCAATGAAAGTAATTTTAGCTTTGGGGGTTCACCACACCATGAGGAACTGTAGAAAAGGGCTGCAGCTTTAGGAAGGTTGAGAACCACTGCTCTCGTGGCTTATGGTATTGCAGGGAAAAGTATTCCTTGGAGGAAATGATGAAGATGAGGCAGGCAAGGACTTGAGCCTCTTCCACTCCTGGCGCTCAGGTGGCTGCAGGGTCCACCGTCCTGCAGCTGGCAGCTTCCCGTTGTGGCTGTCTGGGGCATTTGCCTACTCCGTTCACACTGACAGCTGGCACGATAAGTTCCCATGCATTGGCTGTGCCACGGTCCTGTTGAGGGTTACTGACCTGGGGGCGCTGGAATTATGGCTTCCCCTCTGCAAAGGGATCCCTGCGCAGTAGCAAACATCCTTCCGTTTCCGTGGGAACGTGTGAGTTTCCTGACTGATGGTGGGATGTTTGCTACCATTGAGCGTCAGCTGTGTACCAGTCTCCGGGCAGTGCTTTGTAGAAATGCCAACTCTAGGTCACCTCTTAACAGATCGAAGACACGCGGCCGAGCCTGGTTAGTGCTTTGTCCTGCACTTGGTAAACAGAACGAGAGCGGTATTCAGGTCTAAAAATGTTACACCTTTTGCTCTGTGCCATACGCTACAGTCCCAGGGCTAAAGCCAGCTGACTCTCAGTTCTCAGAATTAGAAACTGGAAATCACACGACCTCAAGGTTAATTTCAGGGTTGTCCGAGAAATTAACCTTGAAATTGTATGTCATTTCAGAGTTTGTAACCTCTCTCCTTCCGTTTACTCGTGCCAACCTCGGCATCCATGGACGGCTGTGGTGGAGGGAGCCTTGCCGCATGTTTAGTTCCTGGGGGCGGGGCTATTTCTTAGGAGTTTCTGTAATGTCTGTCATCCTGTATTAGCTTTAGCTTCAATGGCAGATACTATTGAAAAGCCTGGGCCCCTGAATCAAATCTCAATTGGCATTCAAACCTCAGTGCTTACTGACGGCACCACTCTGGCTCCCTGTCCTCACTGTTCAGTCAGTCATAAAATAAGTGTGTGAGTGTACAAAAGCTTGAGACGATGTGACAAAATAACCCATGCAAAGATTGTCGGTGGCGATATGGTAAGCACTATAGGAATTCACTGTTGGTTGGTGGCAACACTACCCGAGTAGGTTGCTAATATCACTGAAATACTGTGTTGGGCTTAAATACGTGGCCCTTAGGAGAGAGTCAGGCCTATTTGGATGCTTTCCTTTGAAAAATAATTCATATAATTTGTAAATATAAATTTATCTTAGAGGGGCTGAGGGGATGTTAATCCCAGCACAAGGGCCTGATCCTGGCCACAGCATGCATATAGAAGGCTGGGCAAGTGTCTTGGGCATGCTTGGAATCTCGGACCTTGGGTATAAAAAGAGGTAGGTCCCTGGGGTTGGTTGGCCCTTCAGGCTAGCCTACTTGGTGACATAGGTTACAGTAGAGACCTTATCTCAAAAAGACAAAACAAACAAACAAAAAAACAGGATTGGCATTTTGAGGAATTATACTGAGGATGGATGACCTCTGGCCTCCATAGGCACATACTACATGTGAAGGCAACACACACACGCACACCCCAAAATTAGAAAAGATGATAAGGGGGTGGTTTTTGTCAACTTGACATAAACTAGGTCATCTACCAAGAAAAAAGCTCAACTGAGGAGCTGCCTCCATCAGATTGGCCTGCGGACAAGTCTGTGGGGCCTTTTACTGATTTCTAATTGATGTAAGGGCTCAGCCCACTTTAGGTCTTGCCAGCTCGTGGTCAGGTGGTCTGAGGTGTATTAGAAAGCAAACTGAGCAATCCACGGAGAGCAAGGCAGGAAGCAGTGTTAGTCCAGGGCCTTTGTCTCAGTTCCCGCCTGAGTTCTTGCCCCGGTGTCCCTCAGGGATGGGTTGTGACATGGAAGTGGGAACCAAGTAGATCCTTCCCTCCCCAGGTTGCTTTTAGTCCGTCGTCGTTTCACAGTGAAAGAGAAAGAAACGGGAGGAGAGAGCCGGATGAGCCATTTCTGTGGCCTCGGCATTCGGGAAGCAGTGGTTTGGTCGTCTTTCTTAGTGCCCCGCACGTGGACGGAAAGTGAGCCCATCCAGGAATCCAGAGCCGCAGCCTCAAATGTTCCTAGCAATTGCTTTGTGCCTTTGAAATAAAGACAAGAGGCTCTGCTAAACACGTCCTTAGAGTCATGCTTTTCTCTGGGCCAGTTGTCTGTCCTGAGCTGCTCAGCTGTTATGCAGAGTCTCATTGTCTGTTCATTGACGAGGAGGAAACCAAAGGACAGTCACGTGGGCAGCTTTCCTCTCGCTGCCCAGGGGGTATTGAAACCTGTGAACTCTAGTCTGAAGAGCTGCAGGGAAGGCTATGGTCAAGAGTGGCCCAGGCTCCTTATGCATCAGCTCGCCTCGAGCAGGGAGAACAGGGGATGGGTAAATTCTCCCACCTCTGTATGCTCTGTATGTATACCTAGAGGCTGGGCATGGTGCTTAGGGGTTGAGTCCTTGCCGCATGCTCACAAGGCCTTGGCTCAGTGCCCCCCACTTCCTCTCTCTCTCCTCTCTCTCTGTCACACACACATACACACACACACACACACACACACACACACACACACATATGACCTAGAAATTGAGTTGTAATTTAGGATTTGAGAGGAAGCTGTATTTTTGAAGAGCGCTGTGTTTCTGTAGCCCTCTGCGATGTTTATAGAACATGCTTAAACCCTTCAAGGTCATATATGTTTCGCGGCCATCATGAAAGAAAATGAGAACATTCAGCTTGTGAAGAAGAATGTAGACAATTATAGCACAAATCGTGATCTTAGAGAGAAATGATATGGGTCTAACTTCGTAATTGCAGATTCAAGGACAAACTTGATGCTTCCCAGTTGACCAGAACTTTCAATGCCGTAAATAGGAAATGGGAGTTTAAAATAAATTCATTCAATGTTGTCAGGCATTCTGTTGTATTAGAGTTCCGCTTTTTACAGTTCCAGCAGAAGCCTAGAAGGTTTTAAAGAAGTTATGGATCTTTGTGGGGAGCAGGGTTTCAAGATAGGCTTTCTCTGTGTAGCTTTGAAGCCTGTCCTGGAACTCGTTCTGTGGACCAGGCTGGCCTTGAAACTCACAGAGTTCCGCCTGCCTCTGCTTCCTGAATTATAGAAGTTATGTTTAAGAGCCTTTCCCCCCACCTTTTGTGGTTCTGTGAATCAAACCCTGGCCTTCCTGCACACTAAACGCACAGTACTGTATATTGTACAATATACTTCCTCTCCACTCCGACGGAGCCGTGTGGGGCAGGCCACAGTGAAATGAAATGGTGATTCTCAGTGCAGATAGCCGGCCCTGCCTCCAGGAAGCTCTCAGTGTAACTAGAGTCTGAGATGAGGTATATAGCTCTCAACTTTCATAGCTGCCGATGCTAAAGATAGAACATTTAAGAATTCTCGATTGTAGTAATGAATACATATGAATGCAAGCCAAAAGAGTATGTTTTTTTTCTTTAAATATGATTTTGAAGTCAGTTTGGGGTATCAATCAATTTGGGTTAGTTCTGGGGTGAGCAGAGGTGCTCAGGTTCTGTCAGTGAGCAAATTGCCGGATGGAGGTTTGTGTGAAAAGGTACTGACTTCCCTGTTACATGCTGGGGGCTGAAGAAGAAGATGGCTGGTTTTAGAATTTAGTTACCAATTCTAATACTTGATATCAGTTAGTAGCTTTATCAATTATGCTTTCAGTTTTTAGTAACCCGCGCACACACACACACACACATTTGTGGTAATAAAAAAAACTTATTACTGTGTCTCAGTAAATGTTTTTTTTTATGATTGCCTGTGCCTTGAAAAAAAATCAACAAAATATGAATTAGACTTTCACTCATTTTAATATGCACTGTATTGTATGTATGGTGAATATTCAAGATGAACAGGCTTCTCTTTTTTATAGCATAACTATTTCCAAAGTCAAGGAGAGAAGAGGTTGATGTGTGTTCTCCGTGCCAAGCACACAGGAGGCTCCTTTCCAGATGCCGCTGCCGGGTCACATAGTGTTTCACTCTTCTGGTCCACGAAGCCGAGGCAACATTTTAGCAGTCTGCTGCTATCTATAGGCGCTGAGCTCACGTTTATTGCACTTTATGCCAAATTGATCTCTGTGTGTGCCTTCATTTTGGAAACTGGAGCATCCGGTTTCCCTCGGCTGCCCAAATGTCTTGAGTTAATCCTTCATGCCCTGCCTATGAGTTTATATGCTCTGTAGTTGGCAAAGTCAAGTCTCTCTTCGGGTTTGTGGTTCTAACAGCATTCAGAGGTGACAAAGGGGCTCCCCTGTTGTATAGAAGCTGTTGTCGATCACCTGACATATTTAGTTTTCTTGTGTTCTAAAGGCTTTCCCCCCCAGGATATTCTCCTGTGACTCCTGTAAGGTCAAATCCAGCACGGTGGAAGACATTCAGCGGTGAACCTCAAGAGACCACGTGCACTGCTGTTATCTTCTCCCCAGCTGCTGCTGAGCTTGGCCTTCCAGGCTCTTCATCTCCTGGCAGCTCACTCTTCTGCTGTGCTCCCTATGACTCCCCCTCCCGCCCCCCCCCCCCCCACCATGTTCCCCACGTGAGAGATGGAGCTCTAACCCTAGGTGGCTTTCTGCTCATTTGCAGAGTATCCACGTTCTGGAGAGGACCGCGTCATCAAGCACAGAGCCCTCCATCAGCCGGCAGTTGCTGGAGCCGGAGCCCATCCCCCTCTCCAAGGTCAGTGACTGCACCATTGCTCTCACAGGTAGCCCAGTACCCACCCGCTCTGGAGCCAAATGAACTGTGAATAACGTTGACGCCTGACTCTCTTAAAGTAGCTAACAATAGGGCTCCTTTGCCACTTCTTCCGCTTCCTGTGCAGGGATGTTTTCTGCCTTGGATGAGGGGGAATAGAAAGAACTCTATTTCCCTTGAGTTTCCAGGGTTATATGTGAAGGTCTGAAAGCATATTAAGGGAAGAAATAAAGAAAAGCATGGTTATATCCTCTTGGACAGATAAGCGAATAATTCTATGATTAATTAACGGGGGGGGGATATCGCAGCAACTACCATTATTGCCTACCTACTGCATACTCGGTACTACACGAAGCACTTCAATACATTATCACGTTTGATACAGTTTTTATAAGCAGCTGCTTGACATGTGCATATTCATTACATTCCATGAATCCGGAAACTCAGGCTTAGCCGTTTCTCCTAAGACAAAAACGTTGTTAAGTAGGGGGGTGAAATACAAACTAGATTTGCCCAGTTCTGTAACCCGTACTGTCCATCTCTACCTCCCTGCGAGGGCCAGCGGTGCCTACACCAGTGGCCATCCCACACTGTGTGGTCTCCCTCCAGTGTCTGCCTTCCAGCAGTGACTCTGGGGAGAACAGTACAGATGTAAGCCTCTCTCTGTATCATGGGAGCCAGAGTTCCTTCCTCTTCTGCCCGTCCTCCCTCAGATTTGGGAAGATGGACCTCCCTCCCCGCCGCTCATCCTCGCCCACGTGAGATGTTAACCCGGCCAATGAACGGGTTCCCTAATGGGAAAACTCTGAAAAGAGAGTATATGCAAATGGCAGGTTCCCATAAAACCAGATTTATTGCCTCAACATGGTTACTTATAAATGTGTACAGCTGATCTTGCTGCTTTGCTTCCTGTACAGAGCCTAAACTACTGAGAAAAGACCATGCTATTGCACTGCCCTAGTGTTACGGATATGCACACTTGTATGCCCTAGTGTTACGGATATGCACACTTGTATGCCCTAGTGTTACGAATATGCACACTTGTATGCCCTAGTGTTACGGATATGCACACTTGTATGTTTTATACTTTGAAGATGTTACAAGCTACAAAGTTTATTCTGTCAGAGAGGGGTAGAAGAAAAGAATTATTAAACTATAAAAATAATTCAGAGAGGGCTGGAGAGATGGCTTTGTGCTCTCACGGAAGACCAAGTTTGCTTCTCAGCACCCATATCTGGCAGCTGATAATTGCCTGTAATTCCAGCTCTAGGGGATCAGTTGCCCACTTTGGACTTCTGTGGACACCTGCAGCTAAGTGGCATGCACACACGTGCGTGTAGTTGTACACGCATGCTTGCGCACACACAGTTAAGAATAAAAACATGTTTAAAAAATTAACTTAAAAGTAAGAAGGATAGACTTCCATTTGAACAGTCAGTAGAGACCACGTACTTGGTAAACATAATCATCATCTCTCTCTGCAGTGTCCATCCTCTAGCTAGTGAGAAGGTGAGAAAGAACACACGTGGGCAATGGAGCAGCGGCATCCACTGAACACCTGCTTTGTGCCATACGTTCTCGCAACCAGCCTCCAGATCATTAAAGTTTTATTGATTTCCTCGTCTCCATATAATTCCCGCATAAAGGTCTAATCCACTCCCTACCGCTTGCCAATGCACAGCCGCTGGGGTGTGGGTCTGCTGACCAAAGGCAGGCAGGTCCTGCTAGGGGTACCAAGAGCATTCGCTACCCCCGTGGCTTCTGCGCTTCCCATTTAAATCTTACTATGGAACTAACAGACCTTTTCTGTTTGTTCATGTGTTAGTACATGTGGACGAGTCTGGGGGCTCCTAAGAGCTGCTGTATCCACCTAGGGTACCAGTGCATCTCCCCACTTCAGAGCCTCCTGAGAACACAGGCTTCCTGGGTACTGGTTGGTAGGAGCGCTTTGGACAAGGCATTTCTCTGGCTCAGGATTTAATAATTTAATTTAATAATTCTTTGTTTTCAGCTCTTGAGACATTTTTGCCTCTCCTCACACCACCCGTAGACTATCTTGTACTTTTTATACTTTGAAAGCATTGCAAACTACAAAATTTATCCCATCACACCAAGAGTAGACCTCCAGCCCATGGAAAGGGAAGAATTGTTAGACTATAAAAGAATTATTAAACTATAATGTAGAAGGGGGCTGGGGAGATGGCTCAGCAATTAGGAGTCCTGAGGTTGGTCAGTACTGACACGATCATCTGGGGCTCATGGTTCTATTTTTGTTTTATGTAGACTTAGGAGGAGTGGAGACTCGAGCTGAAAATAAATAATAACTGAAATTTCAGGAAAAATACACTATTTGATTTTTAGAAAACTATTTTAATTTTCTTACGACATACACCTAATTCACTAAGCGAGAAAGAGCAACGTTGGCATTGTGGAAAACAGAATGCTGAAGGTTCTGTCCTGTGTAGAAATGGGTTGTTTCCTTTCCTACATATTTTATTTGTAACCTTATCTTCCATCCGCATTTATAATTGAAATAGGTGGGCTTGTTGCTTGCCCTGCTTTTATCCTTTGCCTCTTTGTCAGCTTGACAGCTTATCTAATTGTTAGTGCTGGATTACGCGTCTTTTCTGTTTCGGGAACATTGAGCTCGCAGAGAAGGCACTGCTAGTTCGGAGTGCAGGGTTTCACTCAGGAAATAGGCTAATTTTTGATCTGTTGTTTTACCTGTTTCCCACTCTCCAGTTTGGCTCTCCCCAAAAGGAGCGGTAATGGTAACGGTAGCTACAAAAAGATGAGTTTGTGTTACACCTGACTTCAATTAGTAAGGGGGAAAATTGTTCTTGCTACTAAATGCTTCCGTTTTATGTCATGTAGAGATTCTCCATCAGATGGAGAGAGAGAGGAGAAGGAGGCAAGGGAGGGGTCAGTACCCTTTTCTATAGGATGTAGAGAGAAATGTCTTTAAATACAGCTCACACAGTACTAAGGACAGAAGTCCAGGGAAGATATTTATGCACATGGGAAGTTCTTAGTTACTTAATTTTTATGGAACGCCACTATTCCAATGGGAACAGGAAGCCAGAAGTCCTTGATGATTTCCGTCAGGACTGACTGCTTTCCTTGGTCTTCACGCTGTTCATAAGTAGGGTTCTATTCTTGAGTTGCAGCCCCAGTATTAAGAAAGAGGACTCGGGAGCCTCCATGTGGCCCCTGGGGTCATGGGACAGTGCCACCTGTGCTTGCTACAGCCAACAACCACGGCATTCTACACAGCCTAAAGCTGTCTCATCAGAAACATTTGTATCTAAGTAACAGTCAATTGCAGTATCTTTTGTTACATTGTTTTGAGACAGGGTCTCTCTATGGGGCCCCAGGTGGCCTTGAACTCACAGAGATCTGCCAGCCTCTGCCTGAGTGCTGGGAATAAAGGAGTGCGCCACCCCATGCACCCCAGATCAACCACAGTTTCTGGCAGAATTAGAATTGTCTTCAAGCAGAACCCACATCTTGAGGTGTTGCGCATCGCGGGAAGAACGCACAATGTCGCCAGCTAGACACCCACAGGTCAGCCATGTGTAGCTCATTCCTCAGAGGCCTCTGTGGATGTGGGGAAACAACAATACCTTTAGGGTCTTTCCTGAGGTGGGGAGAGGCAGCTGTGGGCTTGGGTTTAGGAAGGATGCAGGCTCGGTGCTGGTTTTAGGCTTTTCAGAGAGACGGGACCATCTCTGTGTTTTATCTCCTGACAAAAGTTTGGAGAAAATTCCACCCTGGATGTTGCATATTTTGGTTTGGCATAGCTTAGACTTGGCCCCAAAGCAAGCAGCCTCTAGCATGAGGACGGGGAGAAAGAGATGGTGAACACAGCCCTCTTCACCCATGCCGTGTGCCTTATCTGTGCCCGACAATGGGACCTCCTTTCCTGAGACTGTGAGACTCATAGTTGCAGGTTTGGTCTAGCCTGAAATACAGTGCTCTAACCCATTCTCCTTCTGCCCTTCCGTATGGATCTAAGTAACAGTCTTTTCAGAGTGCAGGGACCCGATCAGCTGAGGGCGGGCCACTACCAAAGGCCACTACTAGCATGGCCACTCCCTGAAGCTGAGGCTGCATGCAGAGTTGAGATGAGATGAGAGGTTTTTTTCTCTGAGTGCAGTTTTGTGAGGGAATTGAGAAACCTTTCTCTGTTAAAAGTACAGATGGTAGTTCTGGGTGCCATGCCAAAACTCTAGAATCGGGCATGGTAAGAATGTTGCTAGGCTGTGCTCACCTAGCCCAGTAGTTCTCAACCTTCTGTCGCTGTGACCCTTTAATACGGTTCTTCATGTTGGGGTGACCACCAACCATAAAGTTATTATCATTGCTACTTTATAACCATAATTTTGCTACGATTGTAAGTCATAATGTAAATATCTGATATACAGGATATCTGATATGTGAACCCCAAAGGGGTTGCGACCCACAGGTTGAGAACCACTAACCTAGAGCATATGGACCCATGGCAATTACTTGGTTGTGGGGTTTTCAGACCTAGGATGTCGTAAGGATTAAGTAGGCTTGCCAAGAGGAGTGGAGTGGCGGCCACCACAGCAAACTGAAGACCAGCACTGTCACCAAGAGTTTATAAGCTAGGAGCAAATTTGGATTTTTCAAGTTGTAAAAAACAATTGTCTGATCTATAAATGCTGATAACACTTTTTTAAAAAAGTACCGTATATTGTAATATTAAGTTGGGAGTGTCACCCCAGCCCTTGGCCTGGGAGTTGCATTGGTCCAGACTCCAACTCTCAGCATGCCAAGCACTGACCCGTCCCCAAAGGAGGGTCAGGACCACTCACACAGGGTATTTAGGTGGCTGCCCAGAGAAGGAATATGTGGTTTCGGGTTTTGCGTGTGCTCTCCCTCTGCCCGCCCCCCCCCCCATGCCCGGCCTAGAGTGTGGCATTCATTAAACATGGGCATTTTTGATTTGGTCTAATCTGGTTTGACTGGAGTTCTTTTTCCCAGCTGAGGGGCTCTGTTAGGAAATATTCCTAACATATATGAACAAAACATGTCTAATGAAGGAAGAAATTGATTTAATCTGTTATCTAGCAGGAAGAGTGAGACTCTAGAACCAAGATGCTTTTTAAAAATTTGTTTATTCTTGGGTCTTATTCTTGCTGTTGGAGAGACTGAGCCCAGGGCCTCTGTGTACACTAAGCACAGGCTTTACCAGCGATCTAGGACCCAGGGTCTTAGCTGTGGAGCTGTACTCTCCCTGGGCTCCCGGGGAAACATGCCTCTTGGGAAGCCTGGACTTCTTGGTATGCGCTGTTGGATGAAGCTTTAGTACACACTTTGATGCACAGGGCTGCAGTAGGGAGAAAGAGGACCACAGCACTGCATAGGTGTACCAGCAGGTTGTTCCACACTGGACCCCAGCAACCTCTCCATTCCCGCACAGAAAGCCTGGTCTGCACACTGAATGAACATTTATCATCAGATGTCTAACTTTAAAACCCCTCTGGGGCCCAGGATCATCAGGGGGGGGAATGCATTTTAAATGCTCTGAGTTAGGAAATCAAAATTCCTTTCCGCTTCCAAGCAAACAGTGTTCCCAGTGCCCCTCTCCTGGAGTCTGCCTGCCTCCAGGTCTACCTGGGAAACTCATGGGAGCTTCATTTGAAAGTGTGTGACTTGTTTTGATGCTGCAATTAGCACCAGAATGTCACTCATCCTGTTGCTGAGTCGAGGGCGGCATCAAAGGCGACTTTCTGCCTAGGACTCTCCTTAAATGTGTCTCATTAAGCACGAAACACGAAACACGAGTGATTTGTTTTCCTTTTCCCTCAGGAAGCTGACAGCTGGGAAATTATAGAAGGACTGAAAATAGGCCAAACCAATGTCCAGAAACCAGACAGGCACGAGGGGTTTATGCTGAAGAAAAGAAAATGGCCTTTAAAGGGCTGGCATAAGGTAACTAACTCCCGATGAGAGCATCATCATAGAGCTCTGACTGAAGCTGAGAGCATCATCATAGAGCTCTGAGTCCTTACTAGGTGGGAAGCAAAGGTCACTGGAGCTTTTGAGTTTGAAACAGTGTCTCGAAAACAAACAAAAACCAGCAAACAAAAGCCCAGTAAGGAGAGAAGGGGACGCGGGAAGAATCAAGGGAGGGACAGGAGAGGAGGAGAAAAGAACAAATTCTGTGTCACTGAGGAAGAGGCTCTCTTCCCTTCCTCCATAGAATCCCTTCCCCTCCGGGACTCTCCCGGCAAAAGCAGCTTCATACACTCGCCAGCTCTGCTGCAGAACTTCATCTCAGAGTAGATGGGCTTGCTAACCAAACGCTTGAGTAATGGCCACCTCCTGGCTCCAAGCACAGAGGTTATGGATTGCAACTTCCTTAAAGAAACAGGCAGAGGAACGCCGCCCCAACCTGTCTCCAGAGTAGGATGGAAGCCAGCCAAAGGGGCTTTCATCGAATACAGCTTTCCCTTGTCAGAAACTCTCCCTCCAGCCCATAATGTTACCCCAACACCAAGGACTTCCCTCCTCCCTTCTCCAGTCTTCTAACTTGAATTTTGGCCAGCCAGTGATTCCTTGTAGACCTGCCGCTGCCTGTCTGTCTCCTCACCAGTAACCTTACTTGGTGCTTTCCTGTGACTTTTCTTAAGTTATTCCTGGCTAAACTTCTTTAACAGAAACTTAAAATTAGTAAAAAACAGGCCAAAACCCCATTTTAAATAGATGAATTGCTAGGTTCCATTTGGCATTCTGACTGGAATGGCTGCGGACTGCCATCTTTCTGGATTCTTTCTGGACTGTGTGTCTGGATATTTGCATAAAGACGAGAGAGCACCCACCCCACAGTGCTTTTCCTCCTCTCCCTAATACCGCTAAGCATTGATTAGGCGCCAGCCCCTCTGAATGCCCCAGTTATAGGCAACTGAACTGCTTGTTTAATGTGGCCCTTTTTTATTCTGGCAGGCACCTGTTTTCAAGAATCCCAAACACAGGGATGGCAGTGGCCCTTTGTGAGTTCTAGGCAGGGTGACTTTGGGGACCTGATGTTCCGCTGTCTCAGCAGCTATGAGTTCATACGTCCCATGGAAATGTTCCAGCAGAATAAATTCCAGCCACAGAGGGGTTTCCTACATGTGCAGAGCTGGAAGAGGGCCCACAGACAGGGTGGCTGGCTCCCGAGAGCTGTTCGACTTTTACTGAACGGCCCACAGAAAAAAAAACCAGCAAACAGTTCTTCAGTGTTTGCACTTTAAAAATGGCAAATTCACTCAGTCTGTAGTCAGCAGACCTCAGGGCAGACAGTTGCCCACAGAGCACCCCAGCACACACCCCCACCAGAGTACCTCAACACATCCTCTTATTTTTGTTTTTTGTTTGTTTGTTTGTTTTGTTTTGTTTTGTTTTCTCTGTAGCTTTGGAGCCTGTCCTGGAACTAGCTCTTGTAGACCAGGCTGACCTTGAACTCACAGAGATCCGCCTACCTCTGCTTCCTGGGGTTAAAGGTGTGCGCCACCACCGACCAGCTTCCTTTTTATCTTAATATATTTAATATATGTCTGTTTCCTCGGATCCTCTTAGTATTGCTCATGTATATTCCCTGGGGCTGTTGGCTGGAACATGAGCAGTTGACCAATAGCCGCAGCCCCAAGGAAAACGTGATCCTCCTGCCCTTGTAACCATCAGCTACCAGCTAGAGGTGGAGCCCCCTTTTTATTCTTAAGGTATCTTGGAAATAATATTTAATCTCTTTTACTAATATAGAAGCAGATTGCCAAGGAGAAAATACATGCAAATTGCCAAGGTCACTTAAGCAATTTATTAGTAGTGGATATGGTGTAATGGCTCTTGTAAGAGCCATGAGAATTTTTAGAAAGTTTCCATAGTATCCAGGGGGAAATCCAGAATTTAGCTCCTTCCCTGCAGAATAGTATAGAAATCTTTACAGAATTGCCATAATCTCTCCAGGTTATTTTTTTTCCTTATTCTTATAATGTTCTAAGCAGTTCATTTATGAAGTCTCAGCTGCAGGTCCCTAGACCTCCCCCGGTGAATACAGACCATGGAGAGGAGACCCCATCCCTAGCGAGAAGTCATTTGACTAGAACGCAGACCCACTGACCTCTGACTGTGGCCAGATGCACTGAGTCTGTGTATCAGAGTCATCAAACACGTTAGCAGCTGAACGCCAAGCCCCTGGGACCTGGGCTTGTGAATATTTGTGTAATTCCGAGTGCAAACAGTAACTAGGGCTGTTTGGTTCTTGCAGCGCTTTTTTGTCCTGGACAATGGACTGTTGAAGTACTCAAAGGCTCCACTCGACGTAAGTAGCTCCAAGGACACGATTTGCAGGTCCAGTTAGAATTCCCGCTTGAAGTGAGTAAACACTTGTGACTGGGCAAGCTCTGTGCCATAGTCACCAGCTTCCTGCGTGTCTGTGCCTGTAACAAGCTGCCAACTCTGCGGGTTCTAGAGCAGGTGTGCTTTATGCTTATACTCAAGATGGCACAAAACCCTCAAACTAGCGCATGGGTATTTAACTGTTTTTAAACAGAAGTTTAAGCCTAAAAGTGACACACTAATAATATCACCCTTTCTCTCCTAGAGAGAATATTCAGAAACTATTTTTTTCTTTACTCTTTGAAATGAATTCCATGTTCTTTGCTTTTTGAAATTTAAAGCCCTCCTTGTTCTTGTCAAAGTTCTTTTTAAAAAAATCTTTTGTACTTAACCTGTGTTCATTCACCTTCTTGTCTTGAGAACTCCAACTCATTAAGATTACTCCAGACTGCTTCTGCTTAATAGCTGAGAAGTACTTTGCACTAGACTCTCCAAGTTTCTTCCTTCCCTCCTATCGTGTGGTGTAGGGCAATAAACTAAGGGCTTAGAATTAGTTTTGTCTGCCCCTCTGCCATGGAACCGGCTATGTCCTTGGTCAGCTGGGGACAGTCAGAAGAGGGGGCCAGCTGCTCCCTGATCTCTGATCTCAGCTGCCCAACTCTATGCAAGCAGCTGCCATCCGGCTGATTCATGGGTGTTCTGGGTCACGGTTCAAAAGTGATTATTTTGGGACTCATTGGTGTTGCCCTTTAGAGGAGCTAGAAGCTAAGCGATCTGGAATCACGGAGAGCTGACATCACTAGTTGTGCCCAAAATAGAGGAAGAGGAGTAGCACTGCATGCTGAAATCGGTGTGATCACGACAGCCTAACTGCCCTCAGACCTTGGCCACTTTCTCATCATTAAAAAGAATGTAGTCACCCCCATAAGTGAGTTAAGATTTTCCTTGGGCTCCCCTCAGTTCAGTTCAGAACACACCAGCCCAGATATCCTTCCAGCGTTATTCATAATTCACTAGTCTTTTGATTTCAGATCCAAAAGGGGAAGGTCCATGGGAGCATTGATGTTGGACTGTCTGTCATGTCAATTAAAAAGAAAGCTCGGAGAATAGACCTTGACACGGAGGAGCACATCTATCATTTGAAGGTGAAATTGTCTTCGGCCTTCGGCCTTAGCGGGGGATGCGATTTGCCCTCGCCCGTGGCAGCCAGGAGACGGTTTCCACAGCTGTCCTTCCTTGCTTCCTGTTCCAGGTGAAATCCCAGGACTGGTTTGATGCTTGGGTCTCCAAACTGCGTCATCACCGCCTGTACCGTCAGAACGAGATTGTGCGATCGCCAAGAGATGCCAGTTTCCACATCTTCCCCGCAGCTTCGACAGCCGAGTCCTCCCCGGCTGCTAACGTTTCTGTTGTGGATGGAAAGGTATGACGTCGTGCTGTGAGAAGTCAGCCTGGAAACCGCTTAGAAATACACACACACACACACACACACGTCGCCGTGTGTCCTTGAAAACACCAGAAAGAGAATATGATTTTCTAAGCCTGACACCCAGGAGACAAGTGACATTGGCTCTGAGTTAATCACAAGATGAGCCAGACCCGTGAATCACCAAGCGTTTCCAGTTATTTTTCCTTTATCATAAGTGGACCACACACCTCATGTGTGTGTGGCTTTTTTAGGAATCTTGGGAGGTAGAGCAAACATTTGTTTAGACAACAGCTGGGAATTCTTGGGTAGTAATAAAGAGACCCGGAAGTTCTGATGGCGAAGCTCAGTGCTTTGAGTTACAATGTATACATGACCCAGAGAGAGGCGGCTCGGTACCCCCTCCCCCCGGCTCCCGGAGTTAATGCAGGTCAGCTGGAGAGGTCCTGTGGTATCGGTGGCGTTTCAGTGAGCAAGTGTGTTACGCATATGACAGTCCTTCCTCTCTAATCTGTCACAGAGGCTGTGTTTGCATGCGTACAAGTGACATCGCTATCCCGGGATGTGGCCACACAGCTGTTTCCAAAGGCAGTGCCTCCTGTCATTAAACACAGACAAGAGAGTCTGTGGTTCCTTGGGTTGTGTTAAGATTCACAGCCTGTGTTGCCGAAATGCTGGAGGTATTTCTTGTCTGAAAGTCAAGGTTACAGCAACAGGCTGGGAAGCAACTGTTTCTGTGTTTGATTCGGTCCTTGGGTTGCATTGCACGGGGGTGTTGTGGCTTTATGCTTGGTACCCCAAACTGAGGTCAGAGAAGCTGATTGGGTTCAAAAACGTTTCAGTGGATTGTCTGCCTTTTCTCTTTGCTTCCACATGAGTCTCCATAATACCTAGATTATATAGTTTCCTTCCTACATAGCATTGGAGAACTTCATTGAGAAACACCAGACCTAACCTATCAAACTTAGTGGCATCTACCATGTTTGGCTTTTGTTATTTGATGGAAAATACTAGTGTATAAGTTAAACCCACTAATCATTATATTTCACAAGGCAACCCGATCTATGACTTCCCTGTGGTCACACTCCTGATAAAGACTGTCGGATGGCCTTTCTCCTAGGAATGAGGTTGGCTGAAACACTAACCAGTTTTGGGAATACGGAGAACAAGTCACGAGCCAGGGGGATTGGGGTTTGGGGTCTCAGAGGTCTCCAAGATAGTCCCTGTGTTTCTCTGGGCTGCCTGCGTTTTCATCACAGGATGGGATGAATCTGGGTTAGTCCCAACTTAATGAGAACTGTATCCCAAACAGGTCTTTAAAAAGAAAACATTAATTTTTAATTCTTAGGTTTTTCCAGTTTCGGCTGGTATCTTTGGCACAAAGCATTGATAAAAGATGCATTCTTTCTGTCTCTTGTCTTATTTATTAAATTACTTGGGTGATATCTGAGATTGGGGGACTGAAACCAAATCCCTCCCCTCGCTGTTCGCTCTGGAATAAGAACACTCTCCAGCTCTGCTTCCCACAAAAGGCCTGTTTCTCCCGTTGCAAGTGGCATGGCTTCGAGCTCAGATTCCCTGGGTGATTTCCATTACATTTATCAAAATGCAGTAAAGAGCCTTTTGTCCCTTTCCCTGCTTTCCACATATCGAATTATGAGACTCCTGCGTGTTAATTGGTTTGTGACCCTGTGTAGGTAATAAATAAGACTGGGTTTGCTGACTGTGTGCATTATTTATTTCTTATCATTCAGAAGAGGCCGAATCAGTTGCCAGTGAGTATCTGAGTCAAATGCAGCTTTAAAGCCATATCCTTCCTTGTGAAACAAATCTCTGTTTATGTGGCTGTTTGCTGTACACCTTAGTATCTGCATTTTTTGTTCAGCTGTAGTTCACATAAAAATCCTTTTCATGAGAAAGCTATCAGCTCTAGACAACTTGGCAAGAAGGCCTTTCATATAGTCTTCTGAATGTTTTCAGAGCATCCTTAGGCTGCTTTCTGGTGGGTAGTGAGCTTAGGAATCACACATTAGGGTACAGGGAGGATCTGGGAAGGAGAGACCTCTAGCCATGAGTCCCGGAGACTGTAATGAGGACCCTACAGTATGTATCAGATACAGCTTTCTGAGTAAGTTCTAGCCACCTCGTGAGGATGGGTCACAATTTCTTTGAACACTGTTTTCTTCATCGGATGAGGGAGCTAGCAGATGGAGTGTTGTTCGCGTGCATGAACTCAGCCTTCACGTGTGTAAACTGTGCCCTTCATCTCTTTGCGTGTAGATGCAGCCCAACAGTTTTCCATGGCAGTCCCCTCTACCATGCAGTAACAGCCTCCCTGCGACCTGCACAACGGGGCAGAGTAAAGTGGCGGCCTGGCTGCAGGACTCCGAAGAGATGGATAGGTGTGCGGAAGGTTAGTTCCTGCCTTGGGGGGCTCTCAGAGTGAGCCCCCAAGCCCAAAGCTGGTGGAAATCAAAACAACGCAGCCTCCAGCCTCACCTCCCCGAGTGACCTGGCCTTTCCTTTTTCTTAGTCTTATATCTTCTAGATCTTTCTCCTCACAAGTGGGTCTGAGTTTCTCTCCTGCCTTGGCTTCCACGCTCTTCCACTTTTTCCATCTCTTTACCAGCTCCTTCTTGACCTTGCCTTGACCTGTCCCTCGCGGCCTGAAGAGCTCCCCCATTAGTCCTGGACTCCACGCTGCCTCCTCCCTAGGTCCCTTCCATACCCCCTTCTCTGCTGTCGTACTGCCCACGGAACAGTTCTGTTCCCTGTCAGCACAGATGGAAACCATAGGGTCCAGGGTTGCATGTCTGGACTTACCTGGAAGTGGGGTTACATGGACAGGCCTTGGGGTCTTCTGACCTGTCCACTCTATCCTGGGCTGTTCAACAACTTTCTCTTTCCTCAGCGGAACCCATTGCCCCATGCTTTATCCACAGACCATTTCCATTCCGAAACAGTTTCATTCGACCCACAAAACTGACAAAAAAAATAGAAGGGCAATGCAGAGAGAGTTTAGTAAGATTCAACTGACTTAATTTAACTTAATATTAATTTTGTTTATTTATGAAATTATAATAAGAACAGGTGTTATGTAACTTTTTGACTTTTTTCACTTACAAAGGAAAACATGGACAATCTGCCAATCCTCCTGGTGGCCTCACCATTTTTTAAAAAACTCTACCAGCGTAATAGCTCCAAATGTGCATTTTTTCAACTCTCTGAGACACCAAACTCCCAAACTTAGTCCGCATGTTAAATTATGATTTAAAAGAAGTTTTAGATTCATGATCATGTCCATATGACATCTCATTAAAGTATTTCCTGGGACGTATTCACCACTCACAACTTCCAGTTGTGGGAGGAGGCGGAGCAGTTTCAGCAAGCCCTGTAGATTCCTGCAGTGTTTAGAGACTGCCCAGCTTCCCCTGTGCTGAGGATCGTCTTCAAGATGCTCCCCCATCTCAGCCCGGCCCCTGTAGCTGCAAAAGAGGACCCAGGATTCAAACTCAGACCTTCTCACTGCAAAGCACGCCTCTGAAAGGAATGTACCCTACCCGCCTCATGGGTTTCCCCCAGGGGCTGTGTCGACACCTGGGCCCCACACGTCAGTGATTGTTGCACCCAGCTCCCCCCTCTTCCCCCCCCCCCCCCCCGTTCACACAGCCAGTTCAAAGTCTTGTCCTTATCCTTACCAGCCTTTTGCTGACATCCATCCCTATCTTCGTGACCCCAACCGGCCATTCTTCTTGTCCCTGGTAGTCACACAGCCTCCTGACTGCCTTACCTTACCTAGTCTCCTGCTCAGTTAGTCATCCTTCTCAAAGGCTCATGGGAAATCATCACCTGTGAGCCTGTTTGCAGGCACTATGCCAATACTTAGCAGCTAATATTCTGTTGCATCCAGCCATGAGGCATAGGTACTGTTCGCTTTCTGAACTCTGCGGATGAGGAAAATGCAATTTGTAATGGTCCAGACATTTGCCCGAGATTCTAGAGCTGCCTCCGTGGGGAGGCTGGGATGGCAGCCAGCACACAGTTCACTAATCCCAAGGTCGGTGCTTTGTTCGCCACACAGTGCCCACTCAAGCCTGGTAGACCTTAAAATAACTGTGCAGACTCCCTCCTGGGGCTCTTCACTGTCTCTAGGGTGTTACTTCAAAATCCTGTCTCAGCATTTAGTAGCCAGTGCATTCAGCATTCTGGCCCTACCTACCCCTGCAACCTGGCCGCCTTCTGTAGACTCAAGCAACTGGGTTTTTTTTGTTTGTTTGTTTGTTTGTTTTGTTATGTTTTGTTTTGTTTTGCTTTTAACATGGATGTATTTACATATGTCCTGCTGTGTGCCTTTGGATGGTTGTTCTTCCCAACCTCTTTGCCCTCCTCCACCTTTCGTTTTGGCTAAAACTTTTCTGCCAATCATCTAAACCTTGTGGGGACAGGGTGGAGTCTCGTTTGTAAGCTGCTCTCAAACCATGAAACCATGAACACTCCCCCCTCCCCTAATCTCTTGCTGTACTTAAAAAAAAAATCTATACCGACCATTTGCCGTGGAGCAAGCTGACTCCTGAGATGGGTTTCAGTTCAAAAAGGGAACATTTCCTATTTATTTCATTGTTTGAATTTGAAGACATAGCGTTTTATGGAACCCATTGTGTGTCCAATTTATAATCCTAACAGTAAAGGGGATTGACTCTTCTGGACTTATATGAATCCAGGCCACCAATATATGGGGAAATTACTTGGCTCTTGGAACATATTTTTTTCTGTAGTGATGAAATTCAAATTAGTAAGAATCTACAATAGATTTTTAAAGGAATCTTTTCTTGCCACATTATTAGTGAGCTGAAGAACAGATGTGTTTAACTGATTTTTACTCTGTTCTGTTTTTACTGAATTTGACTTTGGCCCCACCCAAATTCCACACAGCCACCTTGCAAACCATTTTAGAGGAACAAGTAGACAGCCCCTAGGAATAAAACCACAAGACGGCTGAAGTCTCTGGAGTGTCCATGAGACAGACTGTGGAGACAGGAAAGCAGTCACACACAGCTTGACAGGGTAAAACCATCGACTTTCACAGCCGCAGGTGGTAAGAATGGGTTTGGAACTCTCTCACCGCCTGTGGCTCCCATGGTCTGACCCCGAGCAAGGTACCCTTTGGGTTACGTGCATCACCATTATAGAAATACAGATCTGCCCACCCGTCGACCGCATCGTACCTACCACAGTGTGGACTGAGCCCCTTTCATATTGTCTCCGCCATTTCTACGCAGTTCTGACGTTTTTGTCTTCCCTAGATCTTGCACACTGTCAGTCAAACCTTGTGGAACTTAGCAAGCTCCTGCAAAACCTGGAGATACTTCAGAGGACCCAGTCAGCCCCGAACTTCACTGACATGCAGGTAAACGTGACTACCCAGTAACAAGGTCTAAGATCCCAACGTAAGCCCTTCCTGGACTGTCCTGTGACTTTGCGAGGTGGGCACTCAAAAGGGAAGAGCCACACTCAGACGAACATTGCAATGTTTATAATAACATCAATCTATGGTTTATAGTCTGCAGTCATTTTCTTTCTTCAGTTAATGTGTATCTGTGTTTATCTACATGCCTATCTGTGCGCCGTATGTGTGCAGTGGCTGTGGAGTCCTGAACATCCCCTAGGACCGGAGTAATAATAGATGGTTGTGAGCTGCTGTGCGGGTGCTGGGAATCAAACCTGTGTCCTCTATAAAAGAACAACTGCCGAGCCATGGCTCCAGCCCCTCTGGAGTTCTTCATGATACTCTTGAAGTTTGGTGTCTTTGTATTAAGTAGGAAGAGTTTTATCAATTTCGTTTGTTTTTTGAAGACAAGGTTTCTCTGTAGTTTTGGAACCTGTCCTGGAACTAGCTCTTGTAGACCAGGCTGGCCTCAAACTCACAGAGATCCACCTGCCTCTGCCTCCCAAGTGCTGGGATTAAAGGAGTGCACCACCGCCTGGCTGAATTTTATCAGTGTTTTATCCGTAAATGTATTATAGACTACTGTGGACATACATATTTGTATCACTCCCCCATGTACAATGATGGCTTTAAAGTTTAAGTTCTAGAACTTTTGGAAGTATGAGCATCTTTTAGTGTAGAAAAGATGCTCACAATCTCCAATCTGGTTTTCATTTTCGTTCACTAGAAATATAACTTTCACAGGTCAGTTGTAGAGAGGTCTTTGGCTCTAGTATTAATGTCTTTCTTCTTTGGCTGGCTTGCTTTAGGGTTCTAATGATTCCTTACTAACTTTCTGGGCTCTATGTGTGTGCATTATCATGTGTGTGTGAACTTAATAACCCTCTGTTGCTTTTAACTATTTGTGTAACGTAGGCTAACTGTGTAGATATTTCAAAGAAAGACAAGCGGGTCACCAGACGCTGGAGAACAAAAAGTGTCAGCAAAGATACAAAAATCCAACTGCAGGTACAGCCTTTTGTTTTTCCTTTCCCTTTCTGCTTTCATTCACTGTTAAAGCGCTACATCTGTATCCATTCCAGATGAGCCCCTGGGCATGAGGTTGAAGGAATAGCTTACTCACTTTAAAGCTTGTGCTCTGCGGAGTTGGTGTCATCTAAACATGGAATTATTCGTTTTAGATAGTTGGACCTAAGTCCAAAAACCTTGAAAAGTAAAGATGATCCAATTTGGCCACATGATTGGATTTCCATCCTCAGTCACAGCCTTTGAAGCATTAAAACCCAGACAGAAAGCCACTTGAAAATCAAAACTGGAAAGCCAGCGGACTGTAGTGTGGCCTCATTTATGTAGTCAGCGTCAGAGGGCTCTTTCATGGGTGAACCCTGTCCAAAGTTTATATAGGGGTGCTTTAGGTTAAAAATCAGAACAATAGGAGTCAGCGTGGCTGCTATGATTCTCTGGCCTCATAATTTATGTATTTCTGTTCAACTTTCTGGACTCTATTTGCTCTCTGCTCAGGTTATTGAAATAATTTACTGATTACTGAATTCTGTCTCAACTCTGAAATTCTGTAATTACAAAGGTAGATCATATCTGGCCTACAATGATCACTCTAAAATTGGAACTAAAATCTCCATCGCTCATGATAAATTTACTTGAAGTAAAAATTTTAATTGCAATAAATAGTTGTAAATTTTCAGATTTGATCCTCTTTGCATTTCAGTGATACAGAATATGGTCAATGCCCCAAACCCCTTATGTCATAAATGATACTACTTTCAAATCTTGACAAAAATCTCTACTATTCTTACCTTAGCTGTGTAAGATGATTGCTTACCTGCACAGTTAAAATTAGACTTCAGATTTTTTAAAAAAATTTTATCAGTGAATTTAGATCCTAACACAAAGGTGAAAGTAACTCCTGTTCATTGTTCTTCCATTTCTTCTGAATAATTAACAAACGTAATTCTCCTCTAATGCAGGCTGATTTAACAACATTCTTTGTATTGTCACTCTGAGTGTGTCAATAACAAACTGCTGGCGTGCTTTCTAATTTGATGTAATTCATAATAAATTTTCACAAGCACTACGCAATAACATTTCTATTTCAAATATCTGCAGCCCATGAATGGAATTCTGCGTGTTCCTTGGAAGAACATACTTTATGTGTTTTCCATTCTCTTCATAAAATTCGTGCTAAAGGGGAAATGGGCCAAATGATCTCACAGGGAACTTGCAACATTGTCGTTTGTTTTGAGTTTATAAGTTGTGTTTGTTTTCAGCCTTTATGTTCTCATGTCTAAGAGAATAGAGTCATTTTTGCAACCGGAAGAACCCTTTCTTTAAATAAAAGAATTGAAGAATGCTAAAACCCAAAGTGCATGCCCGCTTGGGATAGATGCTATTCTAATCAGGTTTCATGGCGCACACCACTGAGCAGATTCCCTTCCCGGCCATTGTCTTGAGTGGACCAGCTCTCAGCAAGTCTGAGCACAATGCCCCTGGCTGTCTGTGGGGTCAGGATTCCCACCACAAGCCCAGGATTCCCCCTGGAGGAAACAGACTATAGTTCTGGTTAATAAATGTGCCGAGAACTCATCAGGATTGTTTGAGTGGAAGAAATCAGTGCAAAAGCAGGCAGATCTTTGAGAGACTTGGAATTTTTCACTGATGCTGTCTTGCTTTGCCTGACCAAGGAGTGCCCCAGATAACCTTATGATTCTGATTTAGAAGAGGCATCTGAGATCACCTCATCCCCACACTCCCTTTGCCTGCCCAAGAGGAACGGATGTAGTTTTCAGTAGAAACATAGACTTTGGATGACAGGAAGCTATTAATCACCCTAGAGACCATTTCCTTCCAATTGGACTTAAAGTGTGTATCATTTGACTGAAGTACCTCAGAGTTTGGTATCACCCCCACCACACACACACACACACACACACACAACGATTTCTGCTTGCCTAAGGCAGCAGGTCTCCCAAGAGCTGGCAGGAGTCTCTGTGTAAGCAGAAGAGGACCGGAGCCCCTTCAACATGCACACCCGTTGGGGCTGAATCTGTTCACCCAGCAATGTCTGTCACAGGCAAAAACAGCTTTACTCCACTGTCTTTTGCCTACAGAAAGACATAACATTTACTTAAGATGCCGGCTCCCTTTTTCTTCTCGCCCTTGCTGGTTTCCCCTTCCTATTCCCAAAGCTTTTTGATTTTGAGAATTCCATCAGATGATGCCAAGTATTTGTGTGATAATCATCTCACTTTCCGGGATGACCATTATTGCAGCCAAGAAGAGATCCTTGGGCCATGATAGCTCCCTTTCTGTTGTTTGTAACTTAGGTCGTGAGCCGATTGTGAAGGAAGCTGGGCTGTGTGGCGGTGGTAGTTGGGTGGTGATCATTATTCGTGTTGATACTGTGTCATCGAACTTCACATCCATCATTCTAATCATTGTCATCTTGAAAGAATTCTAAGATAGGTTATTTTTGTTGTTGTTGTTGACTGCAGAAAGTAGAAAATGAAGCATGTCACCCTGGACATTGGATAGTAGCTTATTCTCGGTAGGATAGATGGCTCACCTTTCTTGAAGATAAAAGTTAAATGTTAGACCTGTTTGGTCATATCTGAGCTAGATACCATTGAATTGTTGCTTTCAGAAATCTGCTGTGTAACTCACAAAGTAAGCATTTGTCTCGAAGTTTCTGTGGGGAGCATCTTTTAAGAAAATAGGCATCCAGGACTCCCAAAACTTCTGATTTTCTGGTTCTCATAAAAAATATCAATAACAGTATTTAGTCAGAAGTGCTATAGAAGAGAAGTTCTGTGGCCCTGTGTTATTAATAGAGTAAGTTAGATAATCGGTTCTAGATACTGGAGGAATTAGGTAGAGTAGGAAGAGGTACATAGTGGTCAATCAAGTTACCCATCATTCATGTGAATCTGACTTAGTCTCGCATTCCAAAATTATACTGACATGCGAAGATGAGTCCTTCCTTTTATTACATTAAGTATAGAGATTTTGTAGAAAATAGATTATGTGTATATGACACATATAAATATGCAAAAGATTTGTGAAGTAAAATATGAAAGTCATTTGGAATATTGAGAGAATTGGAGATGTGAGAATTCAAACTGTCATTCCAAACAGATGAAAGTAGTCCTGGAGTTTTTGTTGCTGTTATGTAAGTTGTTGAGCTAGTCTGAGAAACTTCACTTTGGCTAACTGGAAGTAGAAGTGTTTATTGTCCCCAGTCTTGAAGAGCCAGGGTTTGCAGCGCTGAGACAACATGAGAAGGGGATGCCATTGCCTCTTGACTTCATCAGGCCTGTGCATAGCTGCACGCTACCAAATGAAACCTGTGCTTGCTGTTTTTCATAACTGGTGGTTTTAGGCATTGGCCCCACACACTGAGGCACTTAAAGGCTCCCTAGCTGCCCCAAACCCCAATCCAGTATGCCTGGCTTCCACCTTGGGAAACTCTTCAAGCTGAAGATCCCAGCACTCATGCTAATACGGAGTCCCTGCCAGCAGTCTTTTCGGTAGGAGGTTGAGTAAGGGGTTGAAGAATCCTGTTTCTCTTCCCTTATTCTTTTCCTTGAATGCATTCTTTTTGCCATTACATTTTATATAATTACTTTCCCCTGAGTTTGCCTGTTTTCTTCACTACCGTTTGGATGCCTGTTGACTTCATACAGTGTGTCATCCCATGTTTCAAAAGCGGTGTGCACGTTCATTTTGCCTTAGAATCACAGGCTCCTCATTAATGTGCTCATTCATAGTGCTCCATCTTTTGGGGGGCAGGGATGATACTCAGGAGGTGGATTCACAATGTTTGAGGGGTCAGCAGTGAGAATAAAGAACATTCCTTGTGGCATGAATGTCCCTTTGACCTGTTCCAATGCTTTTTTTTTTTAAAGAAAAGTCAATTACAGTTAAAACTTCCCTTTTTCTTTGTCTGACTATCTTTCATCCCCCCCATAAATCCCACCCTCTTCGTCCCCACCCCATGTTTTTACCCCCTTTTCTTCTCCCATTCACTGTCAGGAAGGGCCACCTGCGAAGGGCCAGTTCAACACAATTCGGCGCCGGCAGAGGCTAGCGGCAGCAGTGGCTACCACAGTGAGTGGCTTTCGATCTCAAACGAGGACCTTTGTGCAAGGGTGACTTTGTGGGGGCGGTGCCACCCTTGTGTTGAGCATCACCTGTGGCCTGCCCAGCTGACGTTACTTTCCAATGGTCTCTGGCTCGCCTTGCATGGCAGCCATTGGACGTGGGTGCTGGTTTTGGTAAAGGGAGAGCTAGCTCATAATCCTCTTCCTCTCCTGTTGTTGGAAGAAAGGATGGAAACTAAGGTTAACTAATTTTGACAAACTGAATATGGGGCCCTGAGATGGTTTATTTATTTATTTTTCCATGCTGATCGCTAGAACTTTTGCTACCTTTTTTTTTTGAAGGTTGTGAGAAAGAAGCGAGGGGATAAGAGAATATGGATTTTCATGTCACCTCTGCATGAATCCGAAGTAGACATAGCAAGGAAAATCGCTTTCTAGAAAGAATATTGACCTGGAAACTGGAAATATAGTATGGAAATTTAAAACACATAGAGTTAGATGGCGTCTAATCCGTGTGTAGAGGGCTGTTGTTAAAACACACACAGAGTTAGATGGCATCTAGTCCGTGTGTAGAGGGCTGTTGTTAAAACATGCACAGAGTTAGATGGTGTCTAATCCATGTGTAGAGGGCTGTTGTTAAAACACGCACAGAGTTAGATAGCATCTAATCCATGTGTAGAGGGCTGTTGTTAAAACACGCACAGGGTTAGATGGCGTCTAATCCATGTGTAGAGGGCTGTTGTTAAAACACACACAGGGTTAGATGGCGCCTAATCCGTGTGTAGAGGACTGTTCCCCTAAGAGGCAAACGAAAGAATAGCAGGACCTAGAACAATAGGGTAAAGAATCCTGACCGTCCCCCAGAGAGTAGGAAGCAGAACAGCTCCCCACAGAATCATGTGCCGGATAAAAGTCAATCATAATATTAATTCATCCCAAGACCTTGTTCACTTTTAAAAATAAGAGATTCCCGAGTTCGTAGTAAGCATGTATGATAGTTTTTATCTGTTAAATATTTTCTGAGTTAATTACAATTTTATTCTTGCAAACATTAGGCTATATTTGCAGATTGGAATTGCTAAGAATACTCATGAGAAGGTTTTGATTGCCCGGCAGAGTAGCTCCTGGTGTGGAGGCTGTTGGTTTTCTACTTCGTGGTCAGCTCGGGGGGGGGGGGGATACGTAAGTGCTCAGCCAGACCACGGGATAGAATTACTTTTGCTTATTGAAACAACCAGTGATTTGGAATTAATTAGGGAACAGACGCCTACGTTGATAGTTTTACAAATATTTGAACCAAGTCATTCCTGAAATTGCACTCTGGTGCAGCGGACATATTAATGCAGATTAATGAAGTCTCTGCCCCTGGTTCAATAACAGATTCTGACAGTAGACGTGTCTAACCAGTTAAAGGACCCAAGTAGAGAAATCCAGATGATCTTTAGAGAAGTAACAAACAACATCGTAGTCTGGAAAGCCAAACTCATTTACCTTGTGAGAAGGCTAATGCTTCTTCCACTGATACCCTTCCAAAAGAGCGTGCGGGGGGGGGGGGGGTGATTATGTTTTTCCTGGGCTTGGTTTTTTAAACTTTAGATGCAGACAGTGAAAATAATAAAGTTAGGGCTAGCACCCCTTTGCTTAGAGTAGGTTTGTATTTTCTTCACTTGGAAGCAAAAGAAAAGGCTCTTTAAAATAGGAAACATTAATACCCACATCCCAACCCAGCTGTGACCACAGGAATTATAAAAATAACTTTGATTCTAGTGGGAAAAAAGGGTACTGTCAACACTTGGAATAATTATGGAAATAACTGGGGTGGCTGGCTACTAACCTGCTTGGGTCTGTACTCTGACTCTATCCTGAGAGGCATGGAGTATCCACCACTGCCCCCTGCCCCCTCCCCAACTCCAGTGGCCTGGCTGAGCCTCCCTGTTTCTTTTAGTGCCCCTCCTCTTCCCAACACGGAAGGTTACCCCACGTTTGAACCTGCCCTATCTTACAGGAAGCTCTTTTGGTCTAGAATCTTTCCACAGAATCCTTGTCAGTTTTATCCCCTTCCACTCAGGCTTCCGGAGTAGAGTGACCTTTATACCTGAGGAGATGGTTCCAAAATTTATTCTTGTTGGGTCTTAACACTTGCCCCTGGAATGACCCACTTTCTCCACTAGCCAAAGCCCATAGAACTTCAAACTGGAAACACAGAAACACTGGCCCCAACTATGGAACAACACCGAGGCTCCCCAAGCCTCCAGTACCTCAAACATATCCCTGAACGCAAACTGCAGAATACGAACAGGGGATTTTCACCCCGGTTGAGTAAGACCTCTAAACTTATTATTGTTGGACACACTGGGGTTCTTTCCCAGTGCTCTTTGCTATATTTGGGGCCAGCAGGTCTCCTTACAATTCCCTTCTCTTTTGACTTATTTGTGGGTGAGTTTTCAGGGCATCCCCTAACATTTCCACTCCATACTACAGCTACTAGTATCAGAAAGTTCCAGAACCAGGCTTCCTCCCTGGAAGCCTTGAGGTTTGTTCCTGAGCAGAGAGAAAGGCCCAAATCCAGCACTGAGGATTCTCAACTCTAAGCACAAGGAGTTGGTGGCAGCTCCCTTCCCAGTCATCACTGATGACAAGAAACTCGCTACCACTGAGTGACCTGAAACTCTTTCCCAGGACCTTCAACACACAGTATCTCCCAAACCCAAACACCGGCCTTTGTGTTTCTTAACGTTCCTCTGTCTACCTTTAATCATTTTCCACAGACCCCATGCTTCTCTTAGGTGTTCCCAAAGGCCCTCTGTCATCGTTACCACAGAAGTACCCCAGACAGGGGTCCCCAGAGTAAGGGAACACCCGCATCCCATTCTTTCCAGTGACTCCTTCCTAACTTGTCTGACTCAAATCTGGACTGGGAAGAAGTTTGAGCCTGACAAGATAGGCAGCTGTTGACATCTCCCAGCACAGTATCCCTGCTGTCCCTGCTGAGAATAAAAGATCCCTCTGAATGCCTCCGAGAATGTGTGTCAGCATGCAAAGACACTTGTTAGTGGGAAGTTTCCAGTTCTCTTCCTTCCTCAGTAGCATCGTCTCCCCTTTGGTAGCTTTCCAGAGAGATTACTCCCTGGCAGAGCTGAGCTGCATCAGCAGGGCCCCCAGGCTAGTGCTGCCCAGAAGCCAGATTTTCTTTTTCTCTCTATCCAAAAAGAGCAAGGGAGAGAGAGAGAGACACACACACACACACAGAGAATCCTTTTTTTCCTATCCTATCTCACCAAATCCATGAAATTTAAACAAAAAATACATTTAAAATTAAGCATTTTAAAATCCCACCCCCATGCCCAAGCCAAGATTTGCCTCCTTTTTCCTATGGAAATACACAAATTCGCCAGGGAGAAAGAGTTATCATTTCAATTGTAGAAAATTCACGTTTTGTAGAGTCTACAATATGGCTTCTCAGAACAACTGAATGAACGCCTAAGATGAAGGGAAAAGTCACTTCTGGTGGATTTGCTAGAAGAATTAGCATTTCCATTTTCCAAGAACGATTGGCCAATAGCATTTGTGATCCTTGGGTTGATCCTTCTAAAAGGGATGAGAAAGTACTTTGCCTTCACCCAGCACAAGGCTAATCCAGATGCAGTCCAGGCAGGGAAGCTCCTGTAGCCATCGGGAATGGTCTAGAGTAATGCAACCTTTACTACCTAATGCTTTGCACCGGTGGCAGGCTCATAAACCACGTTTGTTATAGATCAGTATAGTGTGCGGCACACCAGGGCAATGGCCGTGACTCACAGCACAGGTTTAATCTGTGAATATATATTCTAGTGAGTATACCTTTAGATGGCTTGAGTCATTAGTGTACGTAATATATGTAATATAAACTTGTTATTTTTTTTTTCTGGTGTCTGTAGACCAAGTGAGTCTTCAAGTGTGTTTTTACATATTTATCAGGATTCTGCCTAGGCTCAAAGACAAGTGAACATAAATTGCCCTCAGGATGAGAACAGGTCCACGCATCAAGGTTCAGGCTTCTTTTCCCTGCCACTTACTTTTCAGGATGAGTCAGAGGTCACTTATTTTTCAGGTCAGAGGTCTGCTTTTTCATTCCATAGTTATTATTGTTTGTAAGAATGAAAACTCAGAGAGTTTTGGGCATTCTTGAACTATCAGAAACAAGACCCCTTCTCCCCAACCTACACTGCTTGCAAAATAAATGAGGTGAGGACTGAGGGTCTCCACGCATGCCATCAGAAAGCAGTGAATAAGGATAGGAGGGACCTTGTCTGTGTAGCGGATGGTGGAACAGGACATGGGGACACGTGAATAATTTACACCTTCCCTTCCAGGTTCCCTTCAGCGCCACCATGTCCCCAGTGCGTCTGCATTCCTCCAACCCCAACCTCTGTGCAGATACCGAGTTCCAGACCCCTCCTAGCCACCTCACTGACCCTCTGGAAAGTTCCACGGATTATACAAAGCTACAAGAAGAATTTTGTCTGATCGCACAGAAAGGTAACACAGCAAGGTGTTTTCTCAGGCCGTGGCGAATTGGATGGAAGGTCGTTGTTTTATGACATCCAGGTGGACGCCCGGGTCACCGTGCCACTCCTTGAGTTTCCTGTGTCCGATATTTACGGCACAACCAGATGTGACTCCAATTTCATAATCCTGAAATAATCGTTTTATTACTTTTCTCTATGGATGTGTCAATTAATACTGTTTCCTAACTCCTCACAAATGCATTTTTAATTGCCTTGTTAAACTGGATGCTAATATCCTGATCAGAGCCAGTGGTATTCCGTGTAGCTCGGGATCAGAGCCAGTGCCTTTGCTTCTGGGCTGGGGTGGCAGCAGTTGGAGTGTGTAGGTGAGCACAGCACAGGGGAAGGGTAAACTCGATGGCACCCCAACAGAGCTTTGTTTGGTTAGTCTTTTTTTTTTAAAAGTATTTATTTATCATGTGCACAATATTCTATCTGTGTGTATGTCTGCAGGCCAGAAGGGGGCACCAGACCTCATTACAGATGGTTGTGAGCCACCATGTGGTTGCTGGGAATTGAACTTGGGACCTTTGGAAGAGCAGGCAATGCTCTTAACTATGAAGCTTCCAAGAAACTCAAGTTTCCAGACTTTGAAAGCCTCTGTTAAAACTACAGGTTTTCTCAGCAGACATACAGACCCTCCATGCAAGGGGGACAAAAACGGCAGCTCCGTGCCTCACTGGCCTCTGGAAGAGCACTGTGAGGAACTTTGAAAGTCAACAGTGGGATTAATTCCAGCTGTTGATGGAATTCCTTTCCGCTGATGGTGCATTGTTACACATGAATTAAGAGATTGTGAGACAGGGGCGTAGCTTTTTTTTTTTTTCAAAAAAGGAAGTCTATTTTGGAAGACTTCACGCATTTTTGCAACACTGTTAATATAAAAATAGGAATTCTTAGCTCAACCTTTTGTGGTTCAAACCACAAGACTGCCTCAGATTTTACCAACGTAACTTGTTAAATATGTAGGCAATGGAGAGAAGCGTTGTTCCTGCTGTTGCTTTTAAATCAAAGCACCTTTGGCACCGAGACACTCACTGCTGACAAAGCAAAGCCAGGGTTGCTTTTTAATCCAAATCGTTTCCCACGCCAAAGAAGCCAGTCAGGACTTCTGGGTCTACTGTCCGGTTTGTGTTGACAGGATTCACAAAATGCTCTTTTTTTGGGGGTGGGGGGGTGCACTGTGGAAATAACTCTGTAATAACTCTTGAGTTGTGTGACACTTTAACAGAATGGCTCTAAATATTACCATCAAACATGACAAAAAACATGCTTTCTTTTCCTTCTTGAGATGTAAGTTAATTTCTAAGTATTGATGTTGAGAATTGATGTTGGTATTTTGTATGTTGCTTCCAAATCTGTGTTGGCTCATCTGGCATGAAATATAAAAATTTCCATTTTAATTAATTACAGTTGCATATTTTTTCAGAGTATGGATACTCAGATGATTCTATTTAAGGCTAGGGTTTTTTTTCCCCCTAAGGTCTGATTTTTTTTTTTTAAGTCAGACCATAACCTAGTCTTTCTGGAAAATGTCTCAACACCTACCAGCTAGTGTCCAGAAGTTGACAGCCTGTGTGTTCGTTCTGCTACAGTTACTGTTTGTTCCTCGCTTTTCTCCCTGCTCAGTGCATTCTCTTTTGAAGTCTGCATTTAATAGCATCGCTATAGAGAAGGAGAAGCTGAAGCAGATGGTTTCCGAGCAAGACCACAACAAAGGCCATAGCACACAGATGGCCAGGCTCCGGCAATCACTATCACAGGTAGGCCCAAGTGTTTTCTTGTGCATGGACCAGCAAAAGATGCTAGGCGAAGGAGGAGGGAGGAGGCCAGCAACGCTGGGGATGGCATGTCCCTCTGACACTCTCCCAAGACATTGCAGAGTCAGCATTGAATAGTAGTGTTGGTTTTTTTTTTTTTCCTAAAAAGGTCAAGGTAAGAGTGAAAATGAGCAATAATTGCTGAGTACATATAAATTGGTGTATTTGACGGCTTGAGTTAATGTCTGGGATCATTTGTCAGATAGCTCCTGATTTTTTAAAAGACAAAGTAAAACAGGCATTTATACATGATTTGCATGTTTAAGGAATATTCCAGAATATATTCAGTCCAGTGGTAAATAAAACATAGTCTACTAGGTCTACCACACTGTACGTTTTTCCACTTAGATTTTAATCTGTTGAAAGTTACTAATGACTGTGAATAGGTAATTAATAGGTAAATGGGTAATTACTAATTTCCTATTTCTTTTCTAATTTGCACTCTTGGGATTTCCTTCAGTCTGTTGTGCTCCTGAACACACATATGCTATATTTTAGCATATGTCATATTTTATTTTACTAATAGTAACCACGCCTCTGTATACCTCAGAGTTGAGGTTTTGATTACAAATTCTTAAGAGCTACACATTTCTGTAATAAACATTTTCTTCAGACAGTCCTAAATTGCACCCAGTTTGAATCCTTTGAGCATGTGATGCTGTTATGTGATTGTTTTGTGACAACTCAGTGTTTATATAAAATATTGTTCACTTCCTGGCACCTTGGATCAGAGTGAAGGAGCCAGCAAGTCGTGGGTAAGTGGTTCTCCATGTGGATCCGACCCTGCTTGAATATTTTCCGTAGTCCCGAGAAGTGAAATGGGAACTCTCCTCACTGTGGTTTGCGTACCCGACCTGTCCGTGTTTTCAGTATTCGGTCTCCTATAATGGCATGCCAATATCTAGGCTACACATTCCCCACAACCACAAACCCCACCAGCTGAGGGACATATGAGGCTTCCGGTACAATCCAGGGCCTTGGGAATATGTACGTCACCATAGCGCCTGACTGGCAGCCTGCAGAGGACTTCACTAATAACCGGCAAAAGTTATGACATCTGCTCACGTCAATGAATCCTCTCAGTGCTCTGTTAATATTAATTGATCTTTCAAATTGTTATTATGAATGGGCCATGAAGAAGAAAGGTCAAAATAATAGTCAAACGAACATGTAGATGAAGACACATAAAACACACCCTGAGCCCCAAAGTGTTGTATTTTTTCTCTAGTATGTTTTATAATGTTAGTTTAGTGACATAAACATATTGAACATACACTAAGAAAATTTGTTTCTTGCTTGCTGCTTGCTTGCTTTTGTTTCTCTCTCATTAAGACAGAGAATTGGCTTGAGGTCTGGGGATATGAGGAGTCTGATCAAATGCTTGCCTCGCATGCACAAATAGCCCAGGTTCAACCCCCAGCCCCACATAGAATTGGGCAAAGTGACATATGCTTTATAATGCTAGTGCTCAGGATGTGGAAGCAAGGAGATCAGATGCTGAAGGTCTTTCTTGGCTACATAATGATTTTGAGGTCAGTCTGAGATTCATGAAACTCTGTCTCAAAAATGGATAGAGATCTAGGATTTGGCTTTGTAAGAATCTAGAAATGACTAGGAAGAGAGATTGGAGTGGTAGAAAATCATTTTTTCATTTGTGTATACATTTAACTGACTAGATATTATGCAAGATATGGGATATCACAGACCTGGTTTCCAGGAAGCTCATGATCTTGTTGGTAAGTGAAAACTGTCCACCCAGGAAAGAGTTATATGGACCACACTGCTGTGAATGTGCCATTCACAGCAGGACATGGTGAGGTAGATTTCCAGGGTCAGATCACTGAGCGGAAAGCACAGGCAGGGATCTGTCTTCCTCAGGTCAGAGGGGATGAAGAAGGACCCCACCCTAAAGTGATAGCGGTGAAACCAACCATACACACTTTGAGTTCAAATAGTTCCTGCTCTTGAGAGATACTTAATTTGCATCATGAGTCAAGGCCTCAGTAGATTTTTCTTGGGTTGTTTGGTTTAGGGTTGTTAAATGTCGATTTTCCTCCTAACCAAAAAGGCTCAAAAAGATATGAAAATAGTTTGGGACTATCAAGACTGTTGCACATTAGCCACTGGAAAATTCGATGCTTACCTTTGTGTGTTGTAGCCTTTGGCTACGGTGACATTATTGTGCCCATCTATACAGTTCAACTGAGCCAGCCAAGCACACACTGGCCACTTCTGCCCTCACCGCTGTGTGGTGACTTCTGTGTTAGGCATTCAGTTTACTGACAGTTACTCTTCTGTAGTGAATTGATCCTGACATTTTGAACACTTAATAGGAGTCTAGAGAATTTGGTGAATGGGGAAGTTATTCCATGGGTAGTCATGAGATGGTAACCATCCCATTGAGACACGAAGGATTAAATTTATGCTATCAATGATAAAGAGTCTTAAAGAAGTTTAACTACCAGAAATTGGAAATATGTGGCATTCTGTATATATTAGAAAGATTAGCCAGGTATCGTAGTATGGAGAATGGATGAAATAAAGGCACTACCACCTGGTCAGACTCATTATTTAAGGTAATTTCAGACTGTCTGATGAAATGTGTGGTAATATTCCCAAAGCAAAGACCTTTCATGGTTGGTAGAGCAAGGGCTGAGTTATGGGATCATCGTGGCCTGGTGATCAGGTGAACATTAGAAGGGGGCTAGGAAGCAGACCCCAGCCCCTGGTTGGATGACGTAGCATGTGAGTTCTTTCTCCCCAAAAGAGGAAAAACAGAAAGGACATATTTACCAGAGGCTTGTGATAAATGATTCTGTAGAGGAGTTTAAATGTCTGTAGGTCATCTAACATGATATATATTTCCATCTTGAGGGGCAGAAAGAGAAATAAGGAAATCAGCATCTCAGGGATGTTGAAGATGCCGATGGGTGGTATTTTCAGGCAGAGCAGAAGAGGACCAGTGGAGCTGGTGCTGCAGCAGAGAACATCAGTATTAAGGACAGGGTGTCTTAGTTCTGGTTACCATGGTTGTGGTAAAACACCATGACCAAAAGCATAATCTGAATTGCACTGCCCATCAAGGGATGCCAGGGCAGGAACTCAAACTGGCTAAGAACCTCAAGGCAGGAGCTGATGCAGAAGCCATGAAGGAGCTCTGCTTACTGGCTTGCTCCTCATAGATCGTGTGTGTGTGTGTGTGTGTGTGTGTGTGTGTGTGTGTGTGTGTGTCAGTCCAGGGATATACCTACCCACAATTGATGGTTTGTCCCCCATCAATCACTGCCCTACAACCTTGCCTACAGTGGCTCTTATGGAGGCATCTTCTCAGATGATGTGCCCTCCACTCAGGTGACTTTATCTTGTGTCAAGTTGACATCAAACTAGCCAGGACCAGGTTAAGAGAGATTCTCTGATGGAGATCAGGTTCATACTACCAGCGGAATTCAAGTGATGGCCACTAAGGGTAAATCATTTCCTGGCCCTTTTGACTAAGCTCAAGTGAAGACCAATGGTAGAGCTTTGAGAATCTTTACAAAGGAAAAACTTTTAAAACATCCTCTTTATCAGTAAATAGCACATGGACTGAATGACGTTCTTGACTGTGGTAGTCATATCAGCATGTGTTTGTTATATGGGAGCCAGAAGAGGATGAGATCCTGAAAGTAGGAGTCAGTTGGGGCATCGTGGCCAGCACTTTTAGCACCGTCCCACCTTGAATGTAGTACTTAAGACTATAAGAGTACCAAATAGTTGGAGTACTTAAGACTGTATAAGTACCAAATAGTTTGAGATGGTTTGTCTCTACACCCTGTGTGTATTTTCCTATGAGTGTAACTTCATGTTAGAGTGTGCTTTCAGGTAGCCCAAAGACACCTTTGGTCCCTATACCCTGTCAGCAGTTGGACCCCCGGACATCTTCCTCATGGTCTCTCCTAAAGAGAGGGAAGGAGGAAGACGGTAGAGAAGTCATTTAAATTGACTGACATTGTTAAAGTTCATATTTTATTTGACATAAGTCCTAATTGATATGATATCTGATGATTAAAATGGTGCATTTTCGGGGAAGCTATTCAGTATATATCATATAAACTTGACAAACTCTGTCATCCTTTTAGCAGGACATAGCATATGAAGTAGATGAGGTTAGCATTCTTCACTCTGTATCTGGCAAACACTGTTACCTGCCTTGAGTAAGTAGAAACTCACAAGGCTGGAGAGACCAATAAACTCCTCTTCAGACACAAACACAACATAATTGTTTAATTTTACCCCTCGTGAAATGTAACTTTCACATCCATGACAAGCAGAGATGTTGAACATAAATGTGTAGAATAGGACTTTTTTGGCTTCTGTCCCTTTTAGGTGACCTTATTCTCTATCAGCCCTCATTTCATGAACACTAGAATTAAATTGTGTAGTATAAAACTAGGACAGCTTCGGCACTCCCAATTAACAAAGCAGTAACTTGCCGGGATATGTGTGGGTCTCTCCCGCAGCGTAGTATGCTGTGTTACCGTTGCTGGTTTGGTTTCTTACCCCAGAATTTGGACACAGCTTGTGCTGAATACAGTGTAAAGTGAGTCCGTACAAATGTGAGCGACAGCATCCGACCTGTCCACGCCAGCTGGAATTGCTATATGTCACTTCATCAACATGCCACAGTCATTAAAGACATCGTTATTTTGTGCATTGCTGAGAGAGAGGGAAAAAGGCATTGCTGTCAACTGAGCTGACAGAGTGTGCGTCTGAGGCTCAAGGCTGTGTGGGGAGAATGCGCACTTAGAATTATTTAAGTATGTTAAGACCGAGACTGTAAACAAAAAGTTGGCTCGAGGCACATATGGCATAATTTAATATCCCAGCCATACTATCTGTCACCCTCCCTGTCCGCAAGATTACACAGACCGCAGATAGGTCCTCTGTAATGGGAGAGAAATCCCATGTCTACTTATTTGTTTCTGAATTCTGCAATTCTCTGGGACCCCAGGAAATCTGAGGGTATGAAGACGTTTTTCATAGAATTCTTTACAATTTTTTAGCTACGTATCAAGTCTCCATGGTAACCCATTGTCTCTGTGGGTCCATGCTGATATCACAACGTGTTTGCTGTAGTAAAACTTTGTCACTACCTACGTTTCCAATGGGAAACTATTGCCTACAGTGCAGCTATCAAAATCGTGTTTCTAAAAAGTTTCAAGCATGTGTTCATGACCAGAGCATAAAGTACAGGTAAGAAGTGAAAGCCGTTCACCTGGGAAACAATATAAAAAAGCTAGGAAGAATGACACACTGGTGTCCCCAGTCCGGTAGTATGGTATGAATTCAAAACATATTAGATGCTTTAATTTTCTAAATATAACAGTAATTTTTAATTGGGAAAAAAGCAAGGCTGTTTGTGCAGAATTTGGGTTTTGACTTTTTTTTTTTACTAATCCTCTCACTTCTTTTGAAGCAGATTTACCTTCAACAAAGGGTTTGATTGTGTGAAAACCTTTGCTGAGTGTTATTAATCCCCCTCCAGCTCAGGCTGTTTCCTTCCCAGAACCCACAATTCCACTTAGTCAAACGATCGTTCCAGTGTCTCCCTGAGTCTAAGTTAAATTCCCATCTATTGTCTGAAGAAGTTGGGATGTAAAGGTTCATTATGGTACTGCTGTTTTTTAGGTGTTAGACATTGTTATTGTTTGAGGACTGGAGGCAGGATTGGGCATGCTCTGTGGGGTCTTTCACACAGTCTAGAAGCACTAGTGAGTGCAGATGGTCCCTGTATGACTGTTCAGTGAAGACAGTAGGCACCGCACAGTGCTGGTTCCTCAGCGCTTCCCTGTTGGCCTTGGCCCCTATGTACAAAGCACATCTATCCTCTTCTGGGCAGGACCCCATAGTTTCTCTTGCTTGGCGGCTGGCACCAGTGGCTGGAATCTTCCTCCTTTTTCCTTGCTCTGTCCCTGTTTACTCTCCTTGAACACATTCCCAAATTATTATCATGTTCCGTGGTCTTTCATGTTATTATCACTCCAACGGTGTTTCCTCTTTCAATACCTGGACTCTTCAGTATTCTCAATTTCCATGATACTGTTAGAAAATGTGGTGCTGGTCCCTGCTGGGGACACTATGCCCAGCGCTCCGGTTCTGGACTGCACCCAATTGCCCAAGCAGACTGATGATCAAGGCAAAGAAGGACCCAGCCTGAGAAAGATTGCTAAAACGGGCTGATGCATGCATGGTGGCCAGCTTGAGTTTGCCAGAGTCGGAGTGACTTAGTTCTACTCCCTTTGTGTCAAAGACCAAGTCTTGCACCTACCACTGCATATATATGATCAAGGAAGTGCTTTCTTTCCCATATTTGCTCGGACTTCCATGGAGGGGATGCCTGTTTGAAACAGAAGTAGGATTTAGTCTTGGACGTTGGTTACAACCTTGAAATTTGGAACTAGTAAAATGTTGCACTGCGCATAAAAGTAGAATACAAGTTTTTTTCTTTCATACAGTGTCAACATATTGGCAACAAATTATAATTATTCTCCATGTATAGCACATATCCTTGATCTTAAGTATTAGCAATAATTTCAGAGAACTATTGTAAGTTTGAAAAACTTAAAAGTAAAAAAACAAAATGAAGACCGTTTGTTCTTCATCTCAGTAAGGAGCACACTTAAGATTTCTCTTTGGTGACCATAATAACCTGTTTGCTACCCAACTGAGGAGAAAACAGAGTTTTAACACTAAAAAAATTAAAGATGTGGGTTAAAAACATCTGTCTCCAGACCATCCCGGTAAATCTCAAAGTAAACAGCATATACTGGGAAAATGCCATCATCTTTTCCTGTTAGGCAGCCAGTGCACTTCCTGCCCAGGGCTGGCCCTTAGAAGTATAGGAAGCTTTCCTTTCCGTACTCCCAATGTAAATCCCAGAAAACCCTCTGACCAGAATTATCTTACACCCCTGTGGCTATGCAGTTGTTCTTCAGAATGGTGCCCTAGAAGCATGTGCATGATTTCAACTTGGCATTTTATTCAAATTTGAAAAGGGCTTCAGAAGTCACCCGTCTCAGCGGACTGACTTTGTAACTAAAGAAAGCACAGCCCTTAGATACGTTAGCATAGGTCTGTAATCCCAGGTATTCAGGAGGCAGAGAGAGGAGAATTCCAAGTGCTGGCATGGGCTGTTTAGGAGGGCCATGTCTCAAAAGAGAAAGTAAGGGGAAGGAGGGAATGCAGACTCCCAACAGCTTCTATGTCTCAGGTGGGCACTAAGTCCAAAAGTCCAGGAATCCTCATCTTGTCACTCCTAGAATTTTTTTTTTTTTTTTTTTTTTTTTTTGGTTTTTCGAGACAGGGTTTCTCTGTGGTTTTGGAGTCTGTCCTGGAACTAGCTCTTGTAGACCAGGTTGGTCTCGAACGCACAAAGATCCGCCTGCCTCTGCCTCCCAAGTGCTGGGATTAAAGGCGTGCGCCACCACTGCCCGGCTTTAGAATTTTTCCCGTTGTATAATTGCCAGAAAAAGAAAAGGTTGTCTTCACATTTAAACAAAAAAGAGCTCTTTTAGCTCATTTTCTACCATATTAATCCTTACAGGTTTCCCTGGGTGTCTTCTATGTGTCTGTAGGCAGATCATATTTAATGCAGATTGGCCAAGAAGAGAGTTTAAGTGAGGTCTTAATGTTTTTAAATCCCCAGAGGAAGTGGTTTGCAATATTCCTTGTAAATGGGGAAAGGAGTTTAACGTTCCCTCCCCGAACAAGAGCTTTGCTTACCCTTGTGGCTTCTTGAGGGCTGATTCATGAACACAATGCCGGTGTCAGCAGAAGGTGGGGTCATTTGAAAAAGAATGGATGGCTCAGGTTTATGTGAATACCTCGGATCAAGACTGGTTCTGCCCACCAGCTCATCCAGTGCCTTGCCAAAGCCCTCCCACTTACTAAGTGTGGCTAGGTAGGTTTGGCCCGAACATCTCAATAACTGTGCATACTTATGGGCAAAGGGGATATCTGAATGAACAAGTGAGCTCACCACAGAGGATGAGCCTAAAGCCACCATTTTTTACTTACTCATCTCTTTCCTAGTATGTCCATGGCTTCTTAGATAACCGGGCATTTTCTCCTCTCCCCACATGAGTGCTGTTGGATCAATATCCACCTTCAATCACCAGATACTTGTCACACCAGATCCAATGTGTTGCTGTATATCATGCCAATAGCCCTAAAGGCTTTAAAACAAAATCTCTAAGTAATTCTGCCCTCAAAATGCAAAACTGGAATTTAAGGTAGGAACCAGACCTGGGGAAGGAGAGGAAAGGTAGGACAGCCTTTACTCTGTGGTTAAGGTGTACGCCTTGCCCAGCGTGGGTGTCAAGTTTTGGTCCTTATGTTTACAGAGCGTTTGGATGAGTTCAGTTACAATTATCGAATTCTACTTGGGCTTACATTGGTGTACCATATCTATTGATAGGAGTCTCCATATCTGTTGATACTCTACATGAAGCAGAATGCACATTCCCCAGGGTCGACGCCCTTTAGTGAGCCCTGGCATAGATTGTCTACTCTAAAACATCCGTGTCCGTTTCAAAATTCCCGTTTTTAACAGGAAGGAAGGGATTGCCCATCTTTGCACAGGCCTTGTCCTCACACACACATTATACCTGAAAATTCCAGTGAGCTGATTCCTGAGACAGAAATGATCGCATTCCCACCCATCAGTGTGAAGTGCAGAAGGCTCCCCACGCTTTGTGCCCAGGGGTCCTGTAAGGGGCACACTTACGTGAAGCTGTTCTGTTCTTGTATTAGGTGTGCTAGCTGCATGTGCTAGACTATGTAAATGGTGTTTACCGATGCTTATTCCTGGTGTGTTCAAAGTGCTGGGGTGTATTGAAAATCGGAGTTGGTTTGCTGTTGGACTTAAGTTCTTATTATGGTTGTCTGTGTCCAACTACTCAGCAAAAGCACATTCTAAGTTACCTCTGTGTGTTCCACTGTTCTGCCAGGAGGGTTAATTATGAGAGCCTGAAAAAAAAAAAGCCCTCCATTTCCTTCAATCACCCAGAAAGATAATGATGTACACTAAAGCCTTCTCATTAATTATTCCAAGTATTTTTGAGATGATGACCCGTCTTTGAAACGAATCCTGAACTTTAGAGAGTAGAACAAAAGAAAGCTAGGAAGTAATCAATAACTTTCATCCCAGACGGCACAAGGTAATTTATATGTGGTGGTAGACTGGTCTTGGATGTAATAAGTCTGGCTCTATGGAGGAGAAAATCCATGTATCACTTTTATGAAGCCCATTAAATATTTCAGTTCCCTAACCTACTTAAGTAGTGCTCTTATATTACAAAAAGTTAGCATCATAACCATAACTAGGAGCCATTTATTTCCTTCTTAACTGATATGGTCCAGCACATGGTAAAATGTGAGCTAGGGCCTCTCCAATGTTGTTGTCTCAAGTGGTCCCTTGTACTTGCTTGTAACGCTTGCCTATTAATTTGCAGTTACAATTGCAGTTTTTGTTACTTTAAGGCACTCAACCAGAATGCTGAGCTCAGGAGTCGGCTGAACAGAATACACTCAGAGTCTATCATCTGTGATCAGGTTGTCAGTGTAAATATTATCCCTAGCCCTGATGAGGTAAGGCTCATTTAGGAACAGTTAGAGAACATCTATTTTATGGCATCTGAATTTCTACATATTTTTGCTTATTTTAAACAGTTGTTTTCCGTTAATAATATCTTCTCCATAAATACTCGTGTTGCAGACAGCTCAGTAGTCTTTGAATTAAAACATATGTGTGTACTTGACATCATGATTTCCCGGTGATCGCTGTCTCTTTTCATTCAGTTCTATATTCATCTGATGTCACCAAATATTTAATTTTTTTATCTAGCCCAGCTTTTTTTATTTTTTGCATCTGTATTTTGTTCCCTTTTTTTTTAACGAGTTCATTAGCACCAAATGTCCAATGAAATGCTGAAAATAATTTTACCTGATAAACTGTTAAATAAGAACTGCTTAAAGGTTTCTTTGAAAGAAGTTATCTAGGGAGAGAAGACCTGTTCTTGCTGAAACAAAGCTAACTGATGACTCAGAGGATCAAAAGCCAGCAGGGACTGGAAGTGTGGTGGGGTGTGTGCCTAGCGCCCAGAGGCCCTAGGTATGGCTAACAGGTGTCATAACCGCTGTGTGCTGGGGACTGCCCTAAGCAGTCACATTGTACCTCAGATGTCATTCTCAGCGGCCTCTACAGGACATACTGTTGTTCTGTTTTTTATAATGAAGAAATGACATGAAAAATAGAAAACCATTCAGAATTTAGGCTAAAATATGTCTAAGATTTTGTAAAGTTACTGTTTTATTAATTGTGAGAAATTAAAGCTGTGTATATGGCAATACATCTAACAAAATAAGAGCTTAAATTAATGCTAAGGTCTTATTTGCACCCAAACCATATATTTTTACTATGAATTTTACCATAAATCAGACTCAGGCATCAGCTTGAACTATCCCAAGGTATCCTACCATTGACTTAGGTTGTCCACTGTCTCCATTCTTGCTTAGGGTCCCACTGGACTCCAATCACATTTAAATCCAGTCGGTTGCTCAGAATCTAGTAATAGTTCTAAGACTTATCACTGAAAAAATATTTAGATCCAGCAAGGAGACTCAGCCAGTCAAGCCGCTTGCCACCAAGTCTGATGACCTGAGTACAGTCCCCAGGGAGCCCCATAGTGGTAGAGAGAACAGAGCACTACAAGTTGACCTCTGAACCAGCCCCCTACATCCATGTATGTGTGTTTGCCCCCATAGTACACCCAATGAATAAATGTGATTTTGAAATTACTTAATCTTTAATTGGAGTCTTCACCCTGAAAAGTGAATTAGAATATATATAATATTCTTAAAATTATTTCTAATTCAATTTATCTTCCTTGAAAGCAGTCATGTGTGCCTCAGCACACATAAGCAGTATTTTACTTGAAATTACATTCAGTAGTCTAGACATGTTTAATTAGTTTAAAATCTACGATTTGGTTGGAAATCAAATTAGATATATCCTATTTCAGAAATTAGTTTTATACATCACCGTGATCTTAGTTGTCTCGAGAAGTTTCTGTGAATACTTCTTGAGGTTTAATGTACAAATGGTCATGAGCCATTTGGAGGTCGCACGTCAGATATCCTGCACCTCACACCAGGTATCTCCGTTACAATTCATAACAGTAGCAAAATTACAGCTAGGAAGTAGCAATGAAAATAATGGTATGGTGGGAATCACACAACATGAGGAACTGTATTAAAGCATCAGGAACGTTGAGAACCACTGGCTTAGACTATGACCAGTAATGTCAGGCCTAAGACCACAGTCCGCTCACATTTTTAATAGAGGTTTCACCTGTTAAATTCCATTTGTTACCAATAGAGCATTGACTTGAAATCAAATTGTCACATCACCATCTTTTCATTCTGCCTTTGGGTATCTCCAGACACAGTAGATGACATCATATATGGTGGCAACTGGAACTTGGACACTGGTGTTAATGGGCAGTCTGGAATTCTCTAGAAATCTAACTAACTTGGAGGACTAGCAGTGCTGCTAGGAGGGAAACCTGATTCTGTCATATTCTCTCTCTCTTTCTCCTATAGGCCGGTGAGCAAATCCATGTCAACCTCCCTCTGTCACAGCAGGTGGCCAATGAGAGCCGCCTCTCCATGTCAGAATCTGTGTCCGAGTTCTTCGATGCCCAAGAGGTGCTTCTGTCTGCAAGTTCATCAGAGAACGAGGTAAGGGTCCTGGGTGCGTCCATCTCGTTTGCCTGCAACTGTGAGTCTGGGCAAAGACCGCCAGCCCCTGGGACTCTGGGCTGTTAGAGGTGTTTGTTTATGTCACAGGACAAGGCTCTCCTTATAGCAGGGCGGAAGTATGGAAGCTACCGTGGTGCTCCCCGTTTCCTGAGCACTTCATGGTGACTCAGGATTGCAACTCAGGGCTCTTAACTTGGATGAAAAAAGGGAAATAATCAAAAATTCATATACATGACCAAGTAACCCAGCCATTGTTAGCAGAGTTCATTGCAGGGACCATTCGGTAATACAGAAAGGATGAGAGAATTAGAAACCTTTTCGACTGGGTAACTTAATATTTCTCCAAGGCAAATCTAATCATGTCCCAATTCCCAGTATTCTTAGGATAACAATTCAGCTGCTACACAAAAATGTTAATAATCCATTCTCTGTACTCAGGTGCAGCCTCTTGTCTCTTTTTGTTATAGATCCTTCCCACAGCCAAAGGAGTGATTCCTAGAGTTATCAATTTGCTAAAGAAACCGTATTGTCTCTAGTAACTAAGAGAAGTAGTCTTTTGTGTGACCCACACTGGAAAGAACCGGACTGCGTACCTGTCCCTGTGCCCTGTGTTTTAGAGGTTTTCACAAAGAGTGGCTTTTAGTCTTATCTTCTTCCTATGCCACAATACTCAGGAGTTAGCCAGGAAATAAACTCAGGTGATGGTCACTGTGAGTCTCTCAGGGCTGTCCCTCCTCCTTAGTCAAGGTATGGCTCCTAGGTCTACCTCTTCTCCAGTCTCGAGAACCCCATCAGAGACTCCCCAAGCCTTTACGCTAACACACTCAGCAACCCCATCTAGCAAGGCAAGGATTGGTGTATGAATTCCCGTCACAGCTGCAGGGTCTGTGCAAGTTGTGTGTCCTGTAAGGCAGTGGAGATGGGCCCTTTACCCTCGCCGTCTACGCTGGCAGGAGCATTTCTCCCAGAGATATGTCTGTGATCTTCTCCCTGCATTCAGCCTAGTTCTTCCTCATTAGACACCATCAGGGAAGCCCGTGATGGCTGACCCACCTCAGCATGGCTCTGTCCGTTCCCTCTCTCCCCCCCAGCCTTCGGTCGGCCTTGTCTGTGTTTCCCTCCAGTTACCACTCCCCAACACTATGCTCCATCGATTCCATTTGTCTGTCCTGTGTTTCCCCCTCTAGAATACAGGTTCCATGAAGGTGGAGACTTTACCACTTGGTCTCTGGAACAGTCTAGTGAATTCAGAATCAGCACTCAATAAGTATTTACTAATGTCATGAAGGGAAGAGTTTTGGTTTTTTTTCCAGGCCATTCCCCCACTTCTGGGAAGTGCCCACATCCAGATTTCCCTGACTGGGGATGTGGTCTCTCCCAGTGCATTTATTTAATGAGTCCTTGGCTCCCTTTAAGAAAACTGTCTACTAAAAGCTGCATCACTGGTGTTTGAAGATGGCCTACTTCTTTTCAGAGTGATCGACCAGCCTGGTGTCGGCTTTAGAATTTAGAATGCAGGGACATGCCGAGTCACATTTAGAAAATAATTCATGAACTATTTTTGAACCCTGAAGTTCAAAACAAAAATATTCGACCCCAGCACTTTTAGCTCACGGGGAAGAAGACCGACCTTGATAACACCACAGGGTCTTGGCCCATGCAAAGAACCACGTGAAAGGACCACAGCAAATAGCCCAGCCCCAGTTACTGCACCACAAACTTAGGACTTGCACACCTCTGACCCATGCCCCTTGTCCCCTCGGAATTCTGCACCAGCAACATTGTACCATTTATGGCCCAGTTTGGGAGAGATCAGACGCCAGAGAGGAAGAGCATGCTCCAGCGTGGCTGTTTTTTTAACAAATGCTAACTGTAAGCATGTTTGTGATAGATGTTCATTTCCGATAGGCACTGGTCTCCTCTTCTGTAATCAGTGAGATCGGCTTCTTCTGGAAGCCGATTGGGTGGAAGAGATCGACTTGCCCTTTTCCCCTTCAAGCTAAAGAGCTCAGTTTTACTGAGCTTAGTGGTATTCCCGCTAGCTCTCTTCACGGTGAGAACCACGGAGACCACGCACAGAGGGAGATTATGAATCAGAAAAAAATATTCTTTTTTAATGCTAATATTCTCTGTATCGTTCCAATTTTAGTATATGTGCTGCCAAAGCAAGCGTAAAAAAAAAAAGTTCTTAAATTGCCGTGTTTGTAGACTTTACACGCAAAAGCAAAACCTCCTGTTATCCTGACCCATGTGTGCGGTCCTTCTGTCAGGGTTTACCACAGGAAATGGGTGAACTCTGGAAAGAGAACTACGCGAACTCTTTTCAACCCTGTCTTTTATTTACTTAAGTGTATGTGTGTGTTTGTGTATGTGTTCTTGTATGCATATGCCTCTGGGTGTGTTTGTGTGCGTACGCATGCGTGAGCAGAAGTCATACGTCAGCTTCCAGTATCTTTTCTCAGTTTCTCTCCATCTCATTTTGAGACACATTCTCTCCCTGAGCCCTGTGCTCATTGGCTGGGCTAGGCTGGCTGGCCAGCTCTGGGTCTGTCTCCTTTCCTCCGCTGCTGTGGCTTCAGGCACATTCACCACACCCAGCTGTCCCATGGGTCCTGGGAATCCAGTCTTTATGTTCGTACAGCAGGCACAATACTGACAGCCCACCCCCTCAACCCCAATTTAAAAATTGTCACTAAATCTAGAAATATTAGAAATTAAAAATAGTTTAAACCATTTTTCATGGTGCAAGAGATCAAACCCAGGGCCTTGCACATGCTAGGTTAGCTGTCTGTCACTTAGCTATGCCCTTAGTCGTAATAGTTTTTACTATATTCAAATTTAAAACGTTCAGTAGCAAAATACTGACATAAAGCTTAAAAAAAAAGGTGAGGAGAATCAAAATGGCGTTCCCTGGTAACCAGTACAGACTGAAAGTCATGCTCAATGTTCTCAGCAGCATCTGTAGCCTGGGCCCAAGCCCTGATCTCTCCCAGGAATGAGCATCTCTCCTCTGGCCTGGTGAGGTGGAACCCAGAGAGGACCACTGTGATGAGAGGAAGCTGTGAGCAACAGCAAAAGAACAATGCTCACACCCAGCAAGCGTGGTAACTGAGATCATCAAGAAACAGATGCTGGACCCTGGGTAGCACCTAGGCAACGGTACATAAAGGGCCCAGACAACAGCTCAGCCACTCCCAGCTGGGTGCCACAGGAAGTGAGAAAGTAGATGGCGGAGCAATGGGAACAGAAGAAGAGAGCACATAGGTGGTGAAGAAATGGAAGATACAGTTTGTGGGCTGGGAAGTGGGGCAGAGCAGGAGATGCGAAGGCAGTTGCTGTCCTTGGCTCTTTGGGAAAAGCTGACTTACACTGCCCGTCAAGAGTCAATAACAAATGCATAAATAGGGTTGACCTATTAGCTCAGGCTTCTTATTAACTCTTATATCTTACATTTACCCATAATTCTTCTCTTCATTAGCCACGTGGCTTGGTACCTTTTATCAGTGAGGCATTCTCATCTTGCTTCCTCTATGTCTGAGTGAAGACTGCACACTGAACCTTTCCTCTTCCCAGAGTTCTCCTATTCTGGTTGCCCCACTTATACTTCCTGCCTGGCTCCTGGCCAATCAGCATTTTATTAGACCAATACAAGGGACAAATCTTTACAGGGTACCAGACCATTGTCCTACAGCATTTCCCTAGATCTGTGTAGCATCTTCTCATTCACCTTCCTAAAGACAGCTGTAGGCATCTTCTGGAAAACTGAGTCTTGACTCTGTGTGCACGCCCTTGCAATTTGGTGGTTTTTAATAACCGTTCAGTTGGCATGAAAACCTATCATCGCTGCTGTGCCCTTTCCTGTCTCTCTACACTTAGTCACTCTTTACATTGGGTGAATGTTTCCCTAATGGTTCTTGCTTTTGCCTCTCCCTTTTTCCTATGCCTCTCCCTCTTATAATGACTGAGCAACTCCTATTCTCTCTCGGACACCTCCACACCTTCCACTCAATGATCCTGCTCTGGGCAGCCTATCTGGAGTCCTCAGGGTAGAGCCACAGGCCTCCTATTTTGTATATGTTACTGTGTTTTCCTGAATTAAGCATTCTAGCCTCCCCCAGCCTAGCTGAGGAGAGACGTCAAAACAGAGGTTCCTCCCTAGCTCCCTGCAGAAGACACTCAAATATTTCTTGAGCCAAGTATGTGTTCACAGTGACGTCTGCTTCTCATTTGAACAAGACTGTGTTACTTTCAACCATTGGATGATCTGAGTTTTCAAGGCAGGAATCCTGAGGGACGTCCTCATCACCTGTCTGTCCTTCCTTCCTTAGGCCTCTGACGATGAGTCCTACATCAGCGACGTGAGTGACAACATATCCGAAGACAACACCAGTGTCGCCGACAATATTTCTCGGCAAAGTATGCATCGTTTGAGCGTCCAGGTTGTTCTCTCTGCATGCCAGATTACAACCCCGGTGAATTGCTAGCCAGGCATTCCCTTCTTCTGTTCACCAATTGTCCCCCTTCAGTTAGTTATTGATAGCTTTTCTGTCGCATAATCTGTCAGGGTGTGCGACTGTGGAATCTGTGACGTATGTGGTTAAGTAGAGAAGACGTACATCTTGTTCAGACACAAATGTCAAGTCCCTCTCATTAAAATATGCACGCGCACACACAGAGAGAGAAAGGGAGAGAGGGAGGAAGGGAGGGAGGGGGAGGGAGGGGGAGGGAAAGGAAGGGAGAGAGAGCACTCTTTTTAAATATTTGAGTATATTTAGAACTTTGTTTAAAATGTACTCTGATGTCTTGCATGTTGTTCTCAACTTCATATAGAAATGATCCTATGTATTAAGGAGGCTGTGATTAGATTATTACAGTCAGAATTCTATGAAGGGCTCTCCTTTCCACTCTGATTTTATGAACCAGAGAGGAGACACATCACTCACTGTCCTTCTTCCTCTCCCAGTCCTGAATGGGGAGCTCACAGGAGGTGCCTTCAGGAACGGCCGCCGCACGTGCCTGCCTGCTCCTTGCCCTGACACCAGTAACATTAACCTGTGGAATATCTTGAGAAACAACATTGGCAAAGACCTGTCGAAGGTCTCCATGCCTGTGGAGCTCAACGAGCCACTCAACACTCTGCAGCACCTCTGTGAAGAACTGGAGTATAGCGAGCTCCTGGACAAGGCCTCGGAGACTGACGACCCCTATGAGAGGATGGTAAGGAAGGGCAGGACCTGAGCGAGGTCACAGCCATTGTGTAGACAGCTTTTCTGTTTGTATAACATCCTCACGGCATAGGTGTTAGCGAAGGTTTGGTCTGCAGAACCAAGCATGGGCAGAAAATTCTAGATCCTCTTATTGGAGGCTACTCATGTGAGTTCTTCATGACCTAGACTCCCACAGTGGTCTCAGCCCTTGGCATTGCCATGTGGAGCCATTCATGGCTTCTTGGGATAGATGCATGTTGACCTTGAGTTGCAGGTCGGTGACACCTGCTGACCTAGAGTGCCCCCTAAATGTTAGCAAAGAGATTAAAACCTCCTGTGAGGGTATAAGCATGCTGAGCCTTGATCTGTCAGCTAGTCCTGTGGGCCAGGAATGTAGTTCTAAGAAAGCAACTTGCTGTTGGTACTTTGTCCTCTACTCCTAAGGCTGGAAAACTTGACCTCTGCTCTATCCAGCACCAGCAGCCATACCTCCCCGCCTGTGGGGCTAAGGGTGTGCCCAGGACATGGCTCCCAAACTGGCTTCCAGAACCTTTGACATCAATCTGTGATAGTCAGGAAATTGGGTGGACACATGAGCGAAGAGCGCTTAACTCAGATGCCGGACACTTCTCACCGGGGTGGTTTGACTTATCCTTACCTGTGTATTCATGAAGATTCAAGTAATTGAAAACACGTGTGGCGTCAATTCGGCCCCCCTCAACATGGAGTGTGTGCCGTCTGTAGGGGTAGAGACAAACGCACCTGAGTGACTCCTACATGGCGCTACTCTCGATGTCTTCACAGGTTCTCGTTGCTGCGTTTGCCGTCTCAGGGTACTGCTCCACCTACTTCAGAGCAGGAAGCAAACCGTTCAACCCCGTCCTGGGGGAGACCTACGAATGCATAAGAGAAGATAAGGGGTTCCGGTTCTTCTCAGAACAAGTAAGTGAGGTTGCCGTCCACGTTAAAGAGACGGTTTGGTAAAGAGAAGAACTTTCATAACTGTGCATTTGGAACAGGCTGTCTTATCAGTTAAGAGAAAAATCATGTCATTTAACTGCCTCCTCACCCCCACTGTGTGTGTGTAAGACCTCTGTGTTTACTTAGTATTTGAGATGAATTTATTATTAGAATGGATACTCTAGTTTTCACTGGGGGGCAGAGTGATTTTATTTTTTTGAAACAGTATTGTTGGTGATCTAGGTGTGGTGGTGCATGCTTGTAACCGCAGCACTGGGTGGAGGCAGCAGGATCGGGAGTTCAAGGCTTGGCTTAACAATGCTGTAAATTTGAAGCCAGCCTGAGATACATGAGAACTTGTCTCAAAAAACAAAAAATACCATTTAAAGAAGTTGGAATAATAGCATCATTCTCTCTCCTCTCTCTCTCTCTCTCTCTCTCTCTCTCTCTCTCTCTCTCTCACCAGGTTAGCCATCATCCACCCATTTCTGCCTGCCACTGTGAATCAAAGAACTTTGTGTTCTGGCAAGGTTTGTATTTCAATTACAATTGAAAGTCAAATGTCTAAGACCTGTGGACAGTTTCTAGCAACAGAATGCACACTGCTCAGTTTGATTTCTGTCTTGAGAACTCAGAGACTATTATTCAATGTTGGCAGGAATCGTCTTGAGAAATTAAATTTTCCAGTTTAATATGAAGCCATGTTGTCTTGGAAGTGAGATGCTGGGTCTTTGGAATATCAGCTCCGCGCTTCCCATTCCAGCCTGGTTCACCTTATCCCATCGTGCCTTGTGGGCCTCTATACTGTGGCGCTGGTGTCTGTTGCCCTCTTACTCTTGGAGCATGTGCAGAGATTTTAATCCCAAAGGAATGCTCCCTGGCACTCTGTCTAGACATCTGTCAACCCAATACATCCAGGAGCATGTGTAGAGTCAGCCGGCCGAGATGAGCAACACTCAGCAAAACTATCTATTCGGAACGGATACAGACTAGGTTTCTTTTAAGAATAACTATAGACAACCATTTCCTTAGGATTGGCACTGTGTTAGTTCTTACAGGGAATCCAGAGATAATTTCAAGTGTATGAGAGCAGTGAGTCTTTTATATGCAAATATCTTGCACTGTTTATATAAGGACAGGAGCTTCTGCACCCTGTGGTGTCACACATAGAAGATCTGAAACAGCCCTTCCCCCAAGCGGTAACAGTTTAAACACTAAAGTGATTCATGGTCTTTTGACTTTTCAGAGTTCAGGCTTTGCAATGAAGCCTCTCCTAATTAAGGTCCATTGTTGGGGTACAGTTTTGCAGTGTTACTTAAAATAAAGCTTCAACAGCCCCCCGCCCCCACCCAGGAGAAAAGGATGCATTTCCTGGCTTGGCTATTAAGTGTAAAATATTTCTTTGCATGTGGAAGGTGTTTCATTGCTCACAGGAAGTATTACCTGAACTTGAGAGCTCACAATGACAGATATTGTAACTGAACTTTATGGCAAAATAAGAAAATAAATTAATTCTTGGTTATACCCAAGAGTCAGAAGTTGTATGAAAATAACCCTAAGCTCCCTTAGTTTATACAGATGGGACCAGGTGCTTATTAGAGATTTGCAGGCAAATCTGAGTCTCCAAGTGAAATACATAAAGCCATTGAATAAGAGGAAGTGCTGGGCTTCGGGCTGTGTCTTAGCCAGTGCTTGGATGTGTTAGAAAGTGCTGGACTTCGGGCTATAGCGTAGCCAGCGTAGAGATGTGTTCATTAAGTTCATCCCACGTGCTCATAAATCTTCGCTATCTCTATGTAAAGATTTTAGTTTACTTTTTTATCCTTTTATCCCAAGTTCTTCTTCACACAGGGGAGATGTGTTGTAAGTCAGTGTATTTACCATACCACAGTTACTTTTACATATACTTCGGGCTTGATATATATGGTGACTATTTTTATCATTTAGTCGAAACTTAGTGTTTATTATTGTTTGGGGATTAAAGCACCATAGGGTCTGTGTTCATATGCATATATGAGTGCCTCCCACATGTACATATTTTATTCTGGCTTCTGGAATTTGTTCCGTTAAATGGAAGCAAACGGGGAACATGATTGTGGAGAAATAATAAGCAATGAGTCTGGGAAGAATCACAGTCTTTTCACCTTGGCTGTCCTCAGGTCCTTGTGATATTAGATAGCAGTACAGTATCTGCTAGAATTGCAAAAAAGAAAAATGCTTTGTAAAATAAAATACCACTATTAGTTTTTACAGAACCGATCAGACGTGGAGCATTGTATTTTTGTCCTCTCGCTATCTCATTTAGATATCAGATGGAAAAATAAGTTCTGGGGGAAGTCGATGGAGATCCTGCCGGTTGGAACCCTGAATGTTACGCTTCCAAAGTAGGTTGCCCTCCTCCCCTCTCAGGCTTCTGCTCTCCCAGAACAAGTGGGTACGCGGGAAGGTCCAAAGGGTCCATTTCCCTGGATGCCCATAGTCTCTGTTACCTTCAGCATGATTTTTTCAGTATGGTCTCCCACAAGGACGAATAACCTTAGCCTGTGTGCAGCAGCTTCCTGCTTCTGTCCTGGCCTCCTTCTGATCAGCCCAGAGCTGCCATGTTCTCGCCAACATATTAATCTACGCTTTTGTTAGCAAGCTCACTCTTTATCCTTTTCTTTTCTATCCTGTTTATAACTTCACCTGTATATCTATCTTGCTTAGATAAAGGATCTATCTTAAATTTCTAAGTTATTTAGAAAAAAAGTAATGATGGAATCCTTTTATACCATAGTCTATATAAAAAGACTTAGAAGAGATAGACTATAAATATTTTTAAATTGCTTGGTTTGTGTTGAGGACAAAGATATGAGTTTGGTTTTTTTGTTTGTTTGTTTGTTTTTGTTTTGTTTTGTTTTTGTTTTTTTTTTTGTTTTTTTTTTTTTTGCTTGTCTGGTTGATTTGGGTTTCATCTATTTGGATGGTAGGATGTGCTGGGGTGGGGAGCTAAAGAGATGGCTAGGTATATAAAAAGCACTTGCACAAATAGGAGGACCTGAGTTCAAATCCCCAGAAGCCATATACCTAGCATGAGTGTCTGTTATCCAGCGCTGCTGTGGGAAGACAGGAGGTGGAGACGGGAGAATCCTCAGAAAACACAGGCCAGCCACCCTTCAGTATGCAGCGGAGAAACAGCAGAGTGAGCCTGTCTCTAAGCGGAAGGCAAAGACCAAAACATAAGGCTACCCTCCACATGCATGCATACACACACACGCATACACACATACACGAATGCACACATGTGCATACCCAGCCAGCTGATGAATTGGATATGGGGAAAGGCAAGATGAAAGAGATAAACATCCAATGAGTGAAAAGTCATGAGGATATCATCTTCCCTGGTGTCTCTAATACCTGTATCATACAGCTGGGCCTGAGAAGTATTTTATTTCATTATGAAATATAACTGTACTTGAAAATATACAGCTGGGCAGTGGTGGCGCATGCCTTTAATCCCAGCACTTAGGAGGCAGAGGCAGGCGGATCTCTGTGAGTTCGAGACCAGCCTGGTCTACAAGAGCTAGTTCCAGGACAGGCTCCAAAACCACAGAGAAACCCTGTCTCGAAAAACCAAAAAAAAATAATGTATACACTTCCATCTGATTTGTGCTCGTGCCATCCCAGTGCTTGGCAGAAATTCTGCACCTCATTCCCCAGAATATACACTGGATTTGTGCCCTAGATATGCTTGTTCGCCTTCCTGTCTTTTTCCTAAAGAATGGCTCCGTCTTCTTAACTTTTATTATGACAATGTCATCTTCTTAGCTTTTATTATGACAGTGTACTATGATAGCATTCTGAGAGTAATTGTTCTCAAATGTGTATCTGATTAAGCTTCTTTCCTCCAATCCGTCCACAAATACTCTCATCACCTGCCAGTAAATGTAGACCCTTTGGAAGGTCACTAAGTGCCTTCCCTGCCCTCCTCGTGATCTGGAGCACACCAATGGCAGGGCCCCAGATACCAGGTTCTCTTGGCCCTTGTGTCTTATAGATACACCCCCCATACACTGTGCTCACCTCCACACTACAAACCACAAGCCTCATCTGGTGTCTCTCGCTTGATAATCACTCCATGTTCCTGCAAAGCTAGGGATGACCCCCACTTCTGTCCTCGTATGCTTTGCTCATTTGTAGATAGTAACCTTCATGATACTTGACTGTTCTGAGTATTTGCTTACATGTCACTATGCCCCTAGAATACTCTTAGCCCCAGAGGAGCACGAAAGAGGCATTGTTGAACTTAGCGGCTTTAGGTCCCTAGAGAACACGTCATTATCCCTTAAGTAAAGGGGTTGTGTCATGCATATTTATGACTGCACAGTAGTTTTTAAGGAATGAGGGGAAGTGAGGGGAAAGGAAGTTTTACCCAAAGACTATTCTCATTTGTAAGAACAGTAATATATCTGTGTCTACTGCTTTTGATCAGTGCTGTGTCCTCTGTAGGTATGGAGATTACTACGTGTGGAACAAAGTCACCACGTGTATACACAACATCCTCAGTGGGAGAAGATGGATCGAGCATTATGGTGAAGTAACCATTAGAAATACCAAAAGCAGTGTTTGCCTCTGCAAACTCACGTTTGTTAAGGTAAGAAGCGCCATAGAACAAGAGAGGAAGGGCCACATGGAATGCTTCCCAAGGAAGAAATTGAAGGAGATATGCCCTGTGTCATGTCTTAGGGTATTTTAGAGAAGAAAGCATGATTGCTTGAGGAATCTAAACTTCTGGATTTGTGGAAGTCAGAAATACCATGTCAAAGGAGAAATAAGTTTATTTTTAAGGAATCTTGTTTTTACATAGCCAACAAGGACACTAAGTAAAATTCTAGAACGCATTTCATTTCTATACCGAGTTCTCTAGTTTCTGTTAGTGCCTGATTACAATGTAAATACATTAATGTGATCGTATGTAGGGTTCTGATTCTAATGCAGGTGTCAGTTCTTGAAAACATTGAGCAGAGCCATGGAGATGGTAGCCACAGTCACTCCAAACTTATCTAACCCTGCTCTGTAGCAATCCAGACTGGGCCAGGAGAAAGTACTGCTTTTGTTTACTGAGAAAAGGTTGTGGATAGAAATGCCCTTGGAGCACCTTTCCCCGAGTAACGCTGGTCTGAAGGAGAAATACAACACACACACACACACCATGTTTAACTACCTTACAGCATTTGCCAATTCTTTTGATATCATGTCCACCTCAAGTTCATTAAGATCCGTGAGCCAAGGGAGAGATTCTAAAGACAAAATCACTAGCCTGTGAGTTAATATTGGGGTCTTTAGCTACCAACTGGCCTGGAGCTAGAGACTGACATGCTATCATGCTGTGGCATGGAGCAGAAGTGTGTGTGTGTGTGTGTGTGTGTGTGTGTGTGTGTGTGTGTGTGTTGGTACTAGGAACCAAATCCAGGGCCTTGCCTGTGGTAAGCCAGTGCTCAGACTACCCCCTGCTTAGAAACTAATCTAACCAGTTACTGTGGCACTCCACTAATCCCAGCACGTGCATGTGACTCTGAGGTAGCAGGACTGTGAGTTTTGTGCCAACCTGGGCTACACGGGAAGTTCCATGCCAATTTAAACTACGTTAGTGAGACGCTATTGAGATAGAGAAGCAAGAAAAGCCACCTTCCCTGAGCGTGCAATGTGCTGAGCTGTTTTCCAATGGAAAGAACGGTTTGCATATGGAAAGGGCAGGTTGGTGTTACTAAAGTGCTGGGGGTTGCTTGTTTCCCAGGTGAATTACTGGAACTCCAATGTGAATGAAGTCCAGGGCGTGGTGATAGACCAGGAAGGGAAGGTGGTGCACCGGCTCTTTGGGAAGTGGCATGAAGGACTCTATTGCGGGGTGGCCCCCTCTGCCAAGTGCATCTGGAGACCAGGTGAGCCGGCCTGAGCTTCTTGGTCAGGAGGCTTGGGGGGGGGGGGGGGGACAACGAAAGGGAGGAAGCAGAGGGCGGACCATGCATTTGCCTTGCATTTCCTGTTGATAGTGAAATCTAACATGTAAATGCTCAAGGCCCTTGCAGTTATATTTACACCCAACAAATAAATTATATGTAAAATCCACCATTTGATACTTGGTAATTAACAAATGGACCAAATCATTGTCATGCCATAAACTGACCTGTTCAAATCTGCCACGGGAAATTGATTTAAACATAATGCATATGTGCAAATACTAGGTGTTCTAAACAAAGAGTTTAAATAATTGAAACACATAAGCAAGACCTTGTTTATCTTGTTTACTTTTTAAATAAAACAAAGGAAATATAGTATCTGTAACCCTAAATTCAGTAACTTGCCACGGTAAGTGAGCTTTTTTACATAGGCAGAAAAGCTGCCACATGCTGGCACATCACCAAAGACATCAGCACAGCCAGGCACTACATTAGCATGTAAAGGAAAATAAAGTGTAAGTGGCCAAAAAATTCTCCACGTGACATCTATTTCCATTGGAATTTGTTAAGTGCTCTCCAACTTTTAAAAATAGTATTAAGGATCCCACCCCCTACAGAGAAGAAGGCAGACTGACAGGACATTGTGGCCAGTTCCTTCTTTCAGTGCTGAGATTTTTGTCTGGTTTGAACCTGTGCAGGTCTTGTGAGGACTGTCACAATCCAAAGAATATAATCAAAATGTTGTATGAAAATTTTTCAAATAAAATTAATAAACTGTAAAAAAAACTAGTTTTTGGTTTCCTAAGCCACTGTTTTAAATGTTTATAAATTTCCTGATAGTGCCGGGCATGGGGGCGCATGCTTTTAATCCCAGCACTCAAGAGGCAGAGGCAGGTGGATTTCTGTGAGTTGTGAGTTCCAGGACATCCAGAGCTATACAGAGAAACCCTGTCTCAAAAAAACAAAAACAGAATAAAAGAAAATTCCTGCAGGTAGAGTGGCTAGTTCATCTGTTGTTAGTAACTACTTACTGAGTATTGGCCATGCACCAGCCTTGTTCTAGGAGGCTGGACTACTTCAGCAAGCAAAGCAAACACAGATTCCACCTTAGAATGCACTGATAAGCATGAATATGAGGTTGGGGTGTAAAGCAGTGGTGGTGCACTTTCTAGCATAAGTGAGGTTCTGGGTACCAAGCAAGTGTCTTACTCACTGCCTGGGGCGATGGTGGATGTCTGTGGTCCTCACACTTGGTACCCTGAAATAGGAGGGTTGCTAGAACTCAGGAGTTCACGATCAGCCTGGACAGCAAGGTGAGCTGTTAGGGAAAAAAAAGGGTGGAAGGGAAAGTACGGCAGGCGGGTGGGTTGCTGGAGGGATGGGTTGGTGGGTGGGCCAGGGGGTGGGTGGATGGATGGATGGATGCCTCAACAGATAGATGGATGGCTCTCGGGGCTGGCAAGAGGGCAGCAGGTTAAAGGTGCTCGCCCCCAAACCTAACAGCCTGAGTTGAGTCCTACAAATCGTCTTTTGTCCTCTGACCTCTACACACTTGCTATAGCTCAAAATGTGTGTGTGTGTGTCTGTCTGCCTGTGTGTGTGTGTGTGTTTGTGTAAATTGTTAGGATGGAATAAAATGAAAGGGCTCTGAAGAAGTTCCCTCCTGCCAAGACTGAGTTCAACCCCTGAAATCCACATGGTAGTAAAAGAAATCACTGGGGCTGGAGAGATGACTCAGCGGTTAAGAGTACATGCTGCTTCTCCAGAGGACTGGGATCATTCCCAGTATCCATGGGGGGGTTGCTCACAACTGCCTGTAACTGTCTACACCTCCAACCTCAAGGGTTCCCACATTCTCTTCTGGACTCTATGGGTATCTGCACACACGCATCATATTTCCCTGAGACACCTTTACATTAAAAAAAAAAATAAGGTTTGATGAGAACAGACAAAACTGAGCCAAAGAAAAATGCCAAGAATAGGTGTGTCTCTCCTCTCTCTCTCTCTCTCTCTCTCTCTCTCTCTCTCTCTCTCTCTCTCTCACACACACACACACACACACACACACACACACAAAACAACAAATTTAAAAATAATTTTTAAACGTTTTAAACAACTACTAATAAAATTTCCGTCTGCATCTTTTAAATGAGGAAGTCCATGAGAGGAGCTACTCGTGAAATTTCGACGTTGGTATTAACTAACCTGGTCTTTAGTTACCTAATTGAATATGTGAGAGGAAAATTCTGTGTTCGGCCAACAAAGACTATTAACGTAATGCAAGGTTTTATTTAAAGGCAGCGTTTTATTAAGTGTGTTAATCTCTCAATTCTGACAGTCAACATAAACTGTATCACCTAGCAAATTAGCAACAGTTCAATTACTCAAAAGGAAACCATGATGTTGTGTTCATGAGTTATAAGCCCATTTGGAAGCTGGGCTCATGTTAAGTGCTCTTCCTGATGAGTGGAGTGGGCTCCTCCCCTTGCCGCCTGCCTCGAACACTCAGAGCTGCTCTCTGCCTCTCTCCAGGTTCCCTGCCAACCAACTATGAGCTGTACTACGGCTTCACGAGGTTTGCTGTGGAGCTCAACGAGTTGGATCCTGTGCTGAAGGACCTCCTTCCTCCCACGGATGCCCGATTCCGGCCAGATCAAAGGTCAGGGTCGCTGCAGGGTTTCTGCTCCATCCTAGATGACGTCATGGTGTCAGAGGTCGTTGGGACTCTTCTCTCCATTGCTTGTTCGCTCTTCATGCATTCTTTCATCCCCGTATTCACTCAGAAATACCCAAGTTCTTACCCTGGGCAAATTGGCATTTGTAGGGACGTTGTAACAGAAACTTACTGGACAGTGGCCGGAACCTTCTGTTCAGTTACCAAATGTCTGAACACACAGCTGGTCACTAGCAAATCGTGCCTTGCCCTATGGTTTTGACCTCCTTACACACACTGCCCTGTAACATGGAGTGTCCTTGGAGTGACAGGAATACCTGGAGGTGACCTGACTGAAACTTAGTCCCATACCTTAGTCCCAGAGGCTGTGGCATTGTACTCAAACTACCGAATTCATCATTTTTTGTTCTTTTTATGTGATCATGATGTCCACTTCTACAGAATTCATTTCCCCAAATTTCTCTATGTCACCTGCATTCCATCACACAGCGGTTCTCTGTTTCCCATGTACGTGTGGAGGTTTTTTCCCCTCCTAAAATGTTATGGTATGACTTTTACTTCATTCTATTCTACATATGATTCTCCACTAAAAATTGCAGTTTATGGTCCTCCCAGAATGTGTGTCTCACTGATTAACATTTAATTTCATCAATTAACCCTGTGCAACATATATTGTATGTGCCTACTCTCCTTTGCCCTTGTTTTGAAATGTAAGGGTGTGTGTGTGTGTGTGTGTGTGTGTGTGTGTGTGCTGGTGGCAATCCATCCGAGGGCCTTGTGTATGTTTAGCAAGCTCCTGTCCACATGCCAGCCACACATGTAAACATTCACAGATCATCACTGGGTCCGTGTTCACCTTCTCAGTTGTGTCTCAGGATACCTTCTTTTTCATACCTGATGTTCCCCAGTAAAAAAGGAAAGCTCTTGCCTCTCAGTCTGTCTCTGAATAGAGAACAGCTGGTCACCATCCAGCACCCACAGCCTTGAACTAACACATTTGGCACTAGGATGCACAAAGAAGAAACCAGCCTGTGACTTCATGTGGCTCTTACCCTGGACTGTCATTCTCCAGAGAACCATCTGAAGTTGTAGAACTCTAGACAACACAGAGAAGTGTTCAGTGCCAAACCACTCGCCTGCCCCCTTATCATACCACTGTGGTCCTGAATGTAGTGATTTAATCCACACGTATGGAAACTATTTTAATTGGTGGACAGAGTGTGGACATATGGCCTGGGACAGGGTGAAGGGGCAGCAGCAATGTCACTGCTGTTCAGGATGTCATATTCTCAGCAGGTAATTTTATGCCAGTATTTTTTCTTCTAAAAGATGCTAACATTGGGATATCAACTGTATTCCTCTTAGATTTCTGGAAGAGGGAAACTTAGAAGCCGCTGCCGCAGAGAAACAAAGAGTTGAGGAACTCCAAAGATCCCGAAGACGGTACATGGAGGAAAACAACCTTGAACATATACCAAAATTTTTTAAGTAAGTCAGCCGTTCCCACAGCAAGTTCATGTTTTACTAAAAATTTGTAACAGACCATGAGAAAAAGAAGGTTGCAGCACATCCAAGGACTTAAACTGATTTGGGTAACTTTACGCTGGACAGGGAAATGCTGAATCGGATCTTGTGTGTGTAAAAGTTACTTGCCATAATCAGCAGTTCTTCTCAGTGGGTCCTTTCTCTCTGTGGGCAGAGAGATAGAGAGGAGCTCACCAAAGGGCATTGTTCCCTCATCAGGACCCTTTGGAGTGGCAGAACCTCTCCTCAGGCAGCAGTGGTTGGGATTCTACCTCCAAGGGCACCGTGACTTCATTAGGATTTAATTTTATTTCTGTAACATGGAGCTTGTTTCTGCTCATATTTAGCCCCACTGTGGCAGGATCAAAGAGGATTGCTACAGGACTATTTAAAGGATTATATAAACATCATGGAGATGACTGTAGTTTCCAGATCCATCATCAGTCATCCTCCTGAGCATGCACAGAAAAGCTCAGGGCAACACCCTCCCCATTAGAGCTGTCATCTCATGATCATCCTGTGGCGGAAGTGCAGACTTGCCATTCAGAAGTCTGCAGTGTTCCCTTCGGGGCTGCAGTGTGCATTCAGGGCTGCAGTATGCTCTTCAGAGCTGCAGTGTGCCCTAGGGCTGCAGTGTGCATTCAGGGTGGCAGTGTGCCCTTAAGGGCAGAAGTGTGCCCTAGGGCTGCAGTGTGCCCTTCAGGGTTTCAGTGTGCTCTTCAGGGCTGCAGTGTGCCCTTCAGGGCGGCAGTGTGCCCTTCAGAGCTGTAGTGTGTATTCAGAGCTGCAGTGTGTATTCAGAGCTGCAGTGTGTATTCAGGGCTGCAGTGTGTATTCAGGGCTGCAGTGTGTATTCAGGGCTACAGTGTGCCCTTCAGGTCTGGAGTGTGTCCTTCAGAGGTCTGCAGTGTGCCCTTCAGGTCTGGAGTGTGTCCTTCAGAGGTCTGCGGTGTGCCCTTCAGGTCTGGAGTGTGTCCTTCAGAGGTCTGTGGTGTGCCCTTCAGGCGGGCAGTGTGTATTCAGGTCTGCAGTGTGCCCTCAGGGCTGCAGTGTGACCTTCAGGGGTCTGGAGTGTGACCTTCAGGTCTGGAGTGTGTCCTTCAGAGGTCTGTGGTGTGTCCTTCAGAGGTCTGCGGTGTGCCCTTCAGGTGGGCAGTGTGACCTTCAGGTCTGCAGTGTTCCCTCAGGGCTGCAGTGTGACCTTCAGGTCTGCAGTGTTCCCTCAGGGCTGCAGTGTGACCTTCAGGTCTGCAGTGTGTATTCAGGGCTACAGTGTGACCTTCAGAGGTCTGTAGTGTGACCTTCAGAGCTGCAGTGTGCCCTTCAGACATGGGTATCATAAAGGCTTTTGCAACTTCTGATACTGAATCTAAAGATTTATGTAACTTAGATTTCTATAGTTCCTGGGAGGAAGCTCTTCCTTACAGTACTTACAGAGCCGTGTTTGGGCCTCCATCCTGTCTCTCCTTACCCAGAGGTAATTAGAGATAATTAGTTCCTGCCCTTCATCTTTTCCTTTTTGATTTCATTTCAATCATTTAATGACAACAGTTTAGTTATTTCTGGCCAGACATTGCTAGCTTATCAATTGTTGGCAGATAGCACACTAACTATATTATATACTGTACTGTATATATTTTATATATATATGTGTGTGTGCATAATATATATATGAGAGAGTTGAGTTCTCATCTGACCTTGATGTAATTTGTGTCTAATGTTGGTTTTCATATTTCCACAGAAAAGTAATTGATGCAAATCAAAGAGAAGCCTGGGTTTCTAATGACACCTACTGGGAGCTTCGGAAGGACCCTGGGTTTAGCAAAGTAGAGAGCCCTGTGCTGTGGTAAACTGGAGGCGTAGAGGTAGCTACCATACCACACTCCGGATGAATAAATAACTATGCACAATTACGTTTCTTATAGCTGCGCGTGGTTTCTGGGTCTACTGAAAACCTCCCATTTGCTTTTCTATTCATCTTTATAATGGATTTTCAAAAGTGCATTAGACAAGGCTCCTAACCACTTTTGGATCCTTTCTGTTTTGCTGCAACCATATTCCTTAAAAAAAAAAAAAAACACAATTAAAAGAGAAAAGAAAAGAAAACCCATGCCCTCCTCGGAAAGCAGACTGACAGAAGGGAGTATAAAATCCAAAGGCGGAAGAGTTGGTCAAGAAGATCACACTGTAACCGGTGCTTCACGCGGATCGGGGCGTGTAAGATGACGGTACTGCTACACGTTTGGTCTGCTGGCTGAAAGCGTCATCCCCTACCTTAGAGCTCCTGGGCCGGAGCGGTCGGTTAGTTCAGACCCGAAGTGTTTTTGGATGTGGTGTGCTTGTACCAGCCTCGTCAAAATAGACGTGATGCTTCCGGAAACCCATCCCATCTTTACATTGTTCATGCCTTAAGAAATGCAAAGATGTACAATAAACCATTTTTTTAAAATGTGTGCTCCTAGGTGTATGTGAAGGACAGAGCGTTAGAATCCTGGGAAGGATTCACTTTCTCGGTCAGAACATTGATTCAGCTGATGTAAGAAGATTAAGTAAGGAAAAACCCATTTTCCTTTGTTGAGCGAGTTACCGTGTGGCGGATCTGAAGGGCAAGAGGGCTAAGGGATGGTCCTCTAAGGTCTCTGCATCCAGGTTGCTCTTTAAGTTCCCATCCGTGTCCAGATAGTAAACCATCCTTCCTGCGTCTGACCTCACAGTGTGTCCTGGCATTTGGCAATGCTGTATTTTATTCGGATACCTGTCATCAGTGTTAAAACTTCATTAGGAAGTAACAGACGTTCGCAGTTTCTGCCTGGGCTGGGTGGTACCATGAAGCACTGTTTTTGAGTGGCACACGAGGCCATACAGCACATCCCTGACTCGTGCCCACTCCTTGGCACGGTTCAGATTCCACAGAGAACAAAAGCTTATTTGCATTATGTAAATGGGTCCTATGCAAATCATCTTCCTTTTCTAAAGTCAAGCAAGTCCATATGATACATGGTTACATAGTAATCATCTACCTTGCTAAGGGCAGAAATAAAAAACTTGGCTAAAAAAAAAAAAATGTATCCATTCCAAAGGTGGGGGCGGGCAAGCTGTGTTTTGAATTCTTCAGGTTTTGTTTTTTCTCCACAGGTACACAGAAGTTTTTGTAGGAAGCTTGCATTAGCATTCCTAAGTTCCTGCACGTACATGACTCTATAAATGCCTGTATGTTTAAAAACTAAGTCTCTGTAGGGGGGCTTCCTAGTGAATTAGAAACTTACATATATTTTATTGTCAGTTAGAGTATTATTCTTAGATTCTCACCATCTGAATTTAAGTGTTATTTTAGACTCTTATAGTGACATTTTATATTTTGTTAAGAGGCACCAATTTTGGTGTTATTTCTCCCCAGCAAAGCATTTCTGATAATGGGTAATTCGCCATAAAACCCAAGGCTGCTGCTGAGAACACGGAGGAAACTCAGAATTTCCACTCCATTTTAATTATCCTGACCTTCTTGTGTCTAAGTCCATACGTCATGTTCACAGCTGGCACTTGTTAGAACGGACGCTCGCTCCCACTAATTCCCTAAGTCAGCCAGAGCTGAGCTTCAGCGTACATGGCCCTCTCTATGCTCGCTCCTCGATTTTGAACTCCTGTGTGAAATCTTAGGTGGTTTGCCTCGCAATTGTCAAATCTTCCACTTGTCATGGACTATTTTTTTTCTTCATTCAAGCTAATGTCCTTTTATCTGTGCACTTTCTTTCATGTCTAAATTTAATTTGAATTAGGACCTAATTAGAATCCTGTTGGCTTCCTCACAGACTTTGGTTCTCCTCCCTTGGTGGAGCTTACAGTACGATTTAAAATGGGTCTCACCTGGACTTAGTGGTGTTTCCTGAAACTGCCTCACAGTGGCTAGGTAAGAAAAGAATCCTGCAGAAGACAGGTGTGACCAGGAGGGACCGGGAAGGTGAGATGATCCAAAGAGGCAGGGGGCTGTCAGTTTAACAAATGGAGGAAGACCAGGAGCCACCAGGGAAGAAATGACTGTGCCCAGGCTTGTGTTATCTGAGAAGGAGGGAGAAACGGGAGGTAAGGCCTTTGCTGGATACATAATATGGTTAGATATCAAGTACAAACAGGAAATGATGGTCAGGTCCCACCCTGAAACTAATTTGGATTTCAAGATGAAAATGAGGGACGTGTCCTGTTAATTACAACCACGTGTTGTGTGTGGTAGCCTCCATTTTGAATCTATTTTGAGATCCAGAGTTCTGAATTGTGTGACCATCCAGCCCTCGGTTAGGCTGCGGATTGTCTGTAACACCCAATTAGCTCACTGCCCAAGGGAACACGCTCTGGTATTGAAGTCACGGCCCCATCCCTCCTTGTCTTCACACCATAGTTAAAAAGTTATGGCCCCATAACTTTTGTTATGTCAATCACATAACATTCCGGGTTTTGAAGCTAAACGGCAAAAGGAAAGAATATTAGCTTATTCTCTTGATAAAACATGATGTATTCCTTGGAACTTTACATAAATCTTTAGATTCATGAAGGCATTACTGTTTTGCTTTTCATTACAAAGATCTAGGAGGGCTTGGTATGTCTGTGTTGTTCTCCCAAGCTTTACTGCCAAGCTCCCTCCCCTCCAGAGAGATGGTCATTAGTAACAGCGGTAATTGGTGGCAGTAGGCTGAGGGCTTGCCCAGACTGAACCGATCAATGGTACACTCCAGCGTTCGCAGAGGCTCTCCGAAAACCAATCATTTGATGCTCAGTGCTACTGACCAAGGTGCAAACTCCCTCTTCAGTGTTGCTGATGTTTGGTTATTTTTAATAGTTATTATTTTTCATGGATTACTTTAAAGCACTGTCTGGTAGTTGTAAAGAAACGAGAACTTCATTTAAGATATCTTGCCATTATCACGCCAGTGAGAGCAGGGACTGAATGTAATTTTTCTGGCTGAGGGAAACCAAGGGATTTTTGGTACAAAGGATGCCAAATTGTCGATTTCCCAAACCTTTTGTGCTCTGGCCTTGTGTTTTTCTGCATGACCCCTTACCAGTCCCAAGGAGCTTGGAGAGGGAGGGAAGTTACATGGAAGAAAACCTGATCTGCCTGTTTTGCTTAATACTAAAGAGTATTTTTGTTACTCTTCTGTGGGTTCGATTATCCGTCTTGTCTACTGCTGTTCTCTGTCATCCTCGGTAATGGAGCGTTTGTAGCAGCTGAGCTCCACACACCATGGCGTGAATCAGATGTTTGCACTTGGCTCAGTGTGTTATGAATGTGGCACAGTAAATACAGTTTGTGTACAAAATATTAGTTTATTTCTATGAGAGCAATTATGTTCGGGATATATAAAATGTATCTAATTAAACCATTATGAATCTATTCTCTGCTCTAGAAATGTTCTTTGGGGGAAAATTTGGGGGGGGGGGGAATGTGTCCATAGAGCTGGGGAAAATGTCGTTTTGTTTTTGTGGGGTTTTTGCCCCCAAGGCTCCATGGATTTTGTGAAAGACTATTATCGCACCAGGATTCTGTCTTTGTTGGGTTTATTTTGTAAAATGTACACTTTGAAAGTTGTGCGTTGCGTGGCACTTTCTCAAGCAGAAACTAGCTCCATTAGCATCGTCTTCAAAGCTCTTACTGAGACGGAAAACCTTCTGACGGCATCTGCTTTCAGGGGAATGGCGAGTTGTCTAAGAAGGGTGTGCCTTCGTTCTTCTAAGAGATGAACTGTCTTTAAAATCGCTGTGGTGTGACACGTCCCACACATGAGTAGAAAGGGCTCTGGGCTACAGGCAGCAGCTGTGAGGGAACTTGGTGTTGAACTCTTCCATTGGCTTTTCAAGGTGACAAACTTGTCTCTCTAACCTCTGGTACTAACCATTGAAAGAGTGGATACCTGTTTCTATTGTTTGGCACCACATCATTGCTTGTTAAACAGCCATGTTTGTGTTGAATTTCAGTCATTCAGTATTAGAAACTATTTCGTTCCCTTTCCTCTTGAACAGTATCCTTCACAAGTTAAAATTTCCTTATAAACATATATTACTAGTTGCTTTCCAGGCTGGTAGGAAAAAGAATAACAACAAGTTCCTGGTTTCCATAAATATTGTTGCTATTTATACCTTCCTTCTAAAACATGAGTTCATTGTATAGAAAAGAATATCAAATCTTTGGTCTGATAATGTGGAGTCCTGCTTGGGATCCACCTGCTCCTTCTACCTGTCATGTTAGAGGGAGTGAGCAACTGAATCGAATTCTGTTAAAGTGGGAACGATGCTCAAAACACTGTTCCTGCCCTGGGCCTGCTCTCTTGATTTTTCATCTTCAGGAATAAAAGTGTTTGCTATTGGAACTGTACCACCTGACATATGTTGGCTGCAGACACCATGACATCACGTCACAGTAGTGACATATTCATTATCCCCATAGGTTTTGGGGTGTGTAATCTTTTCTTCCCCACTCAGAATCAATTCTTGGTCTGTTGTTATTATTGCTTTTTTAAATTAAAGTTTGCATACTTTCTTGTGTTTATAGCATAGAAGATTGGGGTGTGGGGCGGCTGTATACATGCCTGCCAACTCCTCCCGTGCCTTTACCACTCGGTCAAGCTTCAACGTGACCCCACTCAATTCTGGTTTTTGTAACCCAGTAGAGATCATAGATTTGCTTAGAAAGCTATTTTTTTCATATCAAAATGACCATGTAGCATAGCAGGGTAGTTTTCAGGCTTTGAGAGTGCAGGGTTACGATCAGATTGGTGGGGGATGAGGGGTTGGATAGAGGAAGACCTTGAAGGCATTGTCCTCTCTTGTGTGATGAAAGAAGCTGTGGGACTCCAGAGTGATGGCTTTGGGATGGTTGTTTGATAAGGATGGATGGCTTTGGGATGGTTGTTTGATAAGGATGAAGCTGATGGAGGCAGAGACACTTCTGCGGGCCTGTTTTGTTATTCACTTCGCTTGTATGTGACATCTTACAAAGTAAACTTAACATTAAGCTTATACACAAAACATGAAATTGTGCATATAAATGAAGGGTCTAGTGACGTTTTCAATCTGTGTATATGACATGTCATGTTCCAGGCAGGTTAAGCAGTTCTGTCGTTTCTAACATTCCCTATCTGTCAATGGTAGACACTTCCAAAGCCTGTTCTTTTGGGATTCTGAACTATTCCATGCATCACTGTGTGCTCATGAACATTTGAAACTTCCATTGTTTCAGAAGTGTATGTCCTGAATGCCCTTACTCCTCATCTGGAAACAAAGAATCTGGTTTTGTAAAGGAAATGGAAAGCAAGTGTCCTAGTACCTGGTGACCTCCCACTGGGCAGGCCTAAAGCTCTTTCCTGTTGTCATCCCCCTATCCTGTTACTGGAAAGTAGGAAAGTTCCCAGAGGTCATCTGATAGAGCAGGAGTTTTTTTAA